AAACTTGAGACACGTCATTTTGTAATAGTCCTCTTAAAGAGTACTTATCGTGTGTATATGTAGATTTTATAATTTATGCCCTAGTCTCTGCCTTAGAGAATTACAGTAATTTAATTAAAAATAAAAACAGAAACAAGCATATCTAAGAGAGGGTTTTGTACAACTGTTGACTTCAATATCTCCGTGCAGCCGTCGACGTCCGGCATCATGGAATATCCATACTCTATTTATTATACGTTGGTTCTTATTCTTACCGTGCAGACAGCTAATATCTTCTATAAAGATCGCGAGGCTCGCCGCTCCCTCCGCTGTCCGATATGGACCACTGAATACTTGTAACAGGTTGCTATTGCACGAAACGGAAGCAACTTACCTACAGATTCTAATCCCATTTATTTCACATGGAACAATATAGAGCGTCAACATTAAATTGAATAACAAAATTAAGTTACAGCATACATGCGCATGACATTTTAGTACTCAGGAACGGCAACGCAAAAGAAATATCTACTATGAGTATATTCTGGGATGTTCATGTCTGAATATACACGTATCTGACCTTACATGAGTAGTAGAATTGCTGAAGGTGGTTATCGTCTAATGTCAAATATTTGTTGACCGCTTTCGTTAAACACGAAAGACTCTGACTTTGCTTACCAAACGATAGTTGTATTTCACTGAATGAGTAATGCAAGTTGCAACTGCACAAATTAGTTTTATAGTTCGTAACGTCTTAATGCAAAACTAACAGTCGTAAACCGATTTGTATCTAAATGAAGCACCTGTTCATAATAACAATTTATGGTCGAACATAGCAGGGCTTCGCTTAGACATTAAAGCATGAGCCATTGGTCCTAGTACACAATCAATTAAATATACACGTCAGGGACATCTTTATGCATAAGGGGCACAGAGTTTTAACGGTTTCATTCATAGATACATGAATCTGTTAGGACCATTTATTCAGCTGGTTTTAATAATGCAATTCTTATAAACTGTTCCTACTCTTCGATACGAGTAACTGTCCTAGTAGGTATATGTTAATTTAGGACAAGACCTATTTACTGTACTAAATTTAATTGAAATTCGCGGATGATTCACTTTAACAGCACTCTGCGAGAACAGTTCGTGAAGTGAACTATTCGTATTAGTTATTGTACAATAAAATTATGTCAAAAATTATAATTAACAGCAATTATAATCTACGGGCAATTTACTCGTTTAAATGTAATTAAATATACATTCAATAAACATTTATATTTCAATCATTTTACTTAACATTCATATTTTTGTTAGTTGTATATAACAAAAATACACTCAAGACTATAATCCCAGATAGAGAAATCAGAAGCACTACGTCGACTGTTGCTATTTTATTAAACGTAAATAATCCAACATTCAACAAATCCAAATTTTCATGTATTTATCCAGTGTCTATTAAAGGTGTGATACATATGAATAGATTTGTACGTGTTCGATTTTAATGCAGAACACGAAGTACTTTTTGCTATGTAAGCAATTTGCTGCAATAGTTTACAACGGGCGGCAGGGAGCAGTGCGCCGGCAAGCTATTGCCTGTAATAAACCTGCAATATAATAAAGCCAGGGTGGTCCACCGGCCATCGCGTCGTCCAGCAATATTAAATTTATACATCCATTTTAAATTGCTTAAATAAAAATTCCATTAAGTAAGTATCTTCGTGAAATGCGCAAATTGTTACGTCGCCATCCAAGATTGTAGCGTTAGAAAAATAAAAAGATCTTACTTGAATAAAATTGCAATAAGCAACAATTTTATCTATACATACTCGTAATTATAACGTAACTGTAAATAATTTCTCTGTCAGTATAATCATCACACTATCCGCTGGATGAGGTTTAAAAAATATCTTTTAAGGCTAATTCATATAATATATATACCCTTACATAATATACCTAACAATAATTAAAACAAGAAAATATAACTGACTACGACTGATCATGGGCGAAACAGTATACTCTATTATGTCCATGGTACTACTCATGTCTATAGGCGATGGTTACCACTTTCCATCAGGTGGGTCGTCAGCTTGTTTGCCATTCTAAGTTGTATAAAAAAAAAACAAAACCCTGCCGAGGTTTTCCCTAGAGACTATATATTATGCGGCTCTTCAAAAAGAGTATATTAAAGTTTCTTCAAGGTCAGCAACAAGCATGTGACACCTCCAATGTTTCAGGCGTTTATAGTCTTTAGTAACTGTTTACCATCAGTCGGAATGTATACTTGTTTACCACTTTCGGGGGAAAAAAAAATAACATGACTAGTAAAAGTTATAATTTATAATAGAATGGCTCCCAACTTACAATATTTATTGTATCTCTCGTGCACTAGCATTTTTTAATGAGATGAAAATTAAATGAAAGCACCGCCTGCGCTATCGGTATACATTTGAGGGGTATCAGTAAGTGATGATAAGTGAGAATGAAGTTGGTCAAATTAGAAGATAATGACAAATTAACCAATCCCACTGGATGATTTTTACCATACGAAGATCAACAGTATATTGCTAGTAATGAAAAAGTTAGACCTTAGTACCTTTCCCTGGGGGGGGGGGGAGTGATTGTTAGTAATGGGGTCTAACTGCCCCATTGCTAGTAATATACTCTATCAAGTCGACCTCCGCGCGGTTCCCTCTAGAAACTATCGTAGTTAATTCTAGTGGAAATCTTCACGATAGGCTAATGGACCTGTTTTTATCGTCACCTATTGTCGCTCACTAATACCCCGCCAGTGTATACCAGTAGCGCAGGTGGGGTTATCATGTCATTTTCACCCATAAAAAAGTACCTTTCCTTCCCCTCACCGCCCCCATGTCCACTAATAACTTCTGTCAACTTTTTCTCCCTCACTTTAGGAGTATCCTAAAGTTCAGATGAACATCCATGCCACCCATATAAAATACGTGCACTTTGGAATGAAGGATTTGTTAATAAAAGGGACTAGTTCTTATTACTAGCAATAAATACTATCAGATAGGATACTGTTAGCAAAAACCAATAAAAAAACACCATTATTTGATACATGTATGAGGACAATGGGACATCCATTTATTTCAAAATTACAAAAATAGAAGTACCTACTTCTATTACTATCTCTATTTCTTGATATTATTTCATAAAGAAAAAAAATCTTGCACCGTTCATTGTCTACATATTAATCTTCTGCTCGTCTAATCACGAATTCCAACCGCAAGAAAGGGCATTATAATAGATTCCTACTCTTCTTTAATAGAAAAGTTGGTAGTAAGTATACACAACAATTTGATTCATTGTTACCTAATGCTGTCTTGATCCTCCAGGGCCACATCAAAATAAGTCAGGAATGGATAATGGATGCTATTACACGGCGTAAATTCCTGTAATAGCGATGCAATTTGCCATGACCGCTGTACGATGACGCCACAGTATTACATGACGCCCGGCAATGCGATATGCTAATTTATGTATGCCAAGTGTACTTTGTTTTCTTCTAGGAAAACTGAACATTGTTTCCAAATTACTTATGCCCGTAACGCACTTTCGCGAGTGCTTATAAGTAGATTTTTTACCTAATGCCATCGCAATTGCCTACCTATATACTTTACACAACATTTCTCACTTTTTTTTACGCGATCCAGTAATAATCAGGGCTGGTCACATTACACCTGGAAGAGGGAGAGGAATTAATAATAGGGATGTTAATTTCCATTTCTAGCAATACACCCTGTCACGTCGACCTCCACGCGGTCCCCCTGGAAAAGATCATGAACAATTCTTGATAGCTCCGTCACAATGGGATAACTGACCTAGTTTCATCTTCATCTATTACCACTTACTGGTGCCCCACCATCGTATAAGGATTGCGCACGCATGATTACCATGCAATTTGCAATTCTATGGTGCGGCGTCTTGTTTAGGCCTCTGCGCCCCTTTTAGTTCTCAGCACCTACAATATCCGTGGATAAGTAATAGAAAGAAAATGCGATAGAAACGCTGTAAATGTATTGACGTGGCAAATAAGTCCATCCATCCATCCAAAATAATTGCGTACGTAAAGCAAGATAAAAAATATTTCACATCTTGTTCACGCATCTATATTTCCCTTATAATGGTCTCTCTTTCTAAATATTACTGTCATATCGATCAAGACCAATGATAACTGCTGTCCTTAATCCACGCTATAGATACTCGTACTATTTTCATTCTTTACCTTATCTTTGTGAATCGGATAAAATTATACATTTGCAAAGTCAATAAAATTGTTGGCAAAATACCTTAATATCAACAAACAATGTGTTGATATTCGGATAAAGGTAAATTAAAGATTTTTCTATGTTATTCCTTGTTCTTAGGGGTAAATGCAAAGATTAGAGGAAAGGGATTGTTAGTAATAGAGACTGAGAATCCCATTGCTAGCAATATACCCAACCAGGTCGACCTCCTCGCGGTTCTCCCTGGAAACTATCATGGTTAATTCCTGATGAATTCGTCATGATGGGCTAACTGGCCTGTTTTTATTCTCATCTATCACCCTTAACTGGTGCTCTACCAGCGTATCCCGTTAGCGCAGGAGCGGTTACCATACCATTTTCATCTATCAAAAAAAAATATGCAAAGATTTCAGAATAGATTCTTAGGATAAATGCCACTAAAGCAGAAAAAAGAAATTGTCAATGTCAAATTGAAGACGTCAAATTAGCACCTCACTTTTGATCTACTAAATACCAAAGACACATTACCACCTTACTTCTGATATATATATTCTATGTAACCACTTCATTGAATTTGAAAATTTTATAATTATTTAAATTTTTTTGATGCATATTGATATCCATATTTTAAACAAAGGTATTACATAGTATTATTATATACTGAGACATATAATTGTATCAGTATATACCTACAACACTATAAATGTTTGCTTATTTCGTTGTTACTTCTTAATACTTGCATAGACTAATTTTTCAGTATTGTCAGTCCAAAGGTACTGCCGATTATCAAATAATGCAATTAATCTACTTTTCAGTAGTAATATAAACGCAATATTATTTGAAATATATATTTTCATTTTCATAATATTATAATAATGCATTGTGTTATTCCGGAATAATAATAAATTATGAGTAATTTAAGAAAATTAGTAAGTGTTCATTATTATTTTCGAAAATATGAAATTACATTAAATTCTATATTAAAAGGTAACCAACTACATTCCAGGTTCTTCAGAGCTTTAAAAAATTGCATCGCACTAGAATCAAAGTTTTTGAAGGAGATGAAAAGGCCTTAACTGCTGCAAGAATTAAAATCAATGATGAATATCGCAAAAACAAACATGTTAAAGATGAAGTTGCAATCAAAGCTGTAAGTTTATGTAATATTCTCTAATTTATTTTATAAATTGGTGAATTAAATATATTACTTCCTTAATCAACAAGACCTAGAGTATACTATTTATGGTGTTGTGAGTAATAAAACTTAAGAAAAAAATTTATGTATCTAAAAGTAGCTTTCAGTGTTTTAAATTATTAGATTGGTGAGTATAAAGCTACCCTTATGGACTGTTAACGAATTTTTATAAATTGTATTACACCTATGGGTCATATTCTGCATTAACACTAAATACTTTTTATACTAATACTTACATCATGAGATACTATGGATGGTAATATAACATATAAAAATAAGTCATTGTTTTGAAAACTACAATATTATGAACACATACATATAATATGACACAAAAATACATAAATGATTTGTGCTCATAATAATAAATAATAAAATATGGAATATAATTGCTTATAGTAATGAAATTTTCTTACTACAATGAAAGTGGGACAGGAATGTATATATATATATATATATATATATATATATATATATATATATATATATATATATATATATATATATATATATATATATACATTTTTATATTTACTAAATCCACAAATCTAATCACAGTTGAGGTAATAATACATTTTCTACTGTCCCATTGGAATAAAGGTAGCATTTATTTGTACCATTATTCTATTGCCCTTGTCCAATAGCAAGGATGAGTTGCTCTGCCATCCGTTCAACCCACAGCTACCTAAAAATGCTATCTACTAAAATAGAGAGTAGAGGTAAGCCTGACACTAAAAAAATAATTAGATGTGTTTACATCCTTGCATCACCTAGCCGGTTAATTGTTAAAGTTAAGACAACTTTGGTGTTGGTCAGATCAGTGCACTCACTACTAAGAGCTTTTAGAATGTAACTACTAAGTAAACCCCTAATTATTTACTAATTAATAACTCCCTAGATGGTAAAATTTGGTGAGGATGTGGAGCGGGAACTGAAAACTCAAGTTATTCAAGCCCGAGAAATCAAACCTGGTGTCTATGGTAAGTGTTGTGGTACATTATATTCAATACTTCTATACATTATTCTTATACTAATCTGTTTTTGTAAAATTATACTAATATCAAAATATTAATATAATTTTCTCAACCCAATGCAAAAAAATAATATAACTTTTATTCATAGTGGTAAAATTTAATGTGTTTTTTATTAATTATATACTATTCTTTTTTTATTAAACAGAGGCAAGGATAACTGAAGAAACACTGAAGCTAGATAATATACCTTATAATGAGAATGCTGTAATAGAAGATGAGACAACAGGACCAAGACCATGCTGTCAAGATAAAGCACAAACAAATGAACTATCTAAATAAAACATACATTAATTGTAGTCATATATAGTAATTATACTTTTTGCTTTTTATTAAAATTGGACATTTGTTTCTTTGATCAACTCTTGCTTTTTAGTATGTACAGTGTCATATAATATAATTGTACTACAATGATAATACTTTGGCTGTCACTACATAACATTGATATACAATATGTTAATTAACATAATCCATATTTAAAGCTAGTCTCTCTAGGGTCTCAAAGATAATATATTCCTTCCTAGAAAAAAAAATATATTTATATATGTATAGGACTAGGCAATAATGATCTTTTAAATATGTAGTCTTGGGAGCATTTACCAATTTCTAAGTTGTGATATATTGATGTTAATTTTTTTACTTAATGCAAAGGATACCATTTTTACTATAATGAAAATAAACATCTAAACCCATTACCCTATTAATATTATAAATATGAAAACTTATAAGGATGGGTGGATAATTTGAATAAAATTTAATCTAATTTAGCTCATACAATACTTTATGTACTGATGCATGTGGGGATAGATGCGAGATACAGATAATACAATAATAAATGCATTAAAAGTTTTGGATCCAAAAGTTACCAAACTTAAAATTAAATTTATCATGTACAGATCTATTAACAAGACAATTATTCTTATGAGCATTGATTATTTAATCTAAATATAAAAATTTAAGGGTTACTTCTGAAAATAATGTCCACCATTTAATAAATACTATTTATTAAACAAATAACGAAACTGTAGGCTACAATAAGTAATATATTTAAGGAACATTAAATTTGCCTTCATTTAATTCTTTAGTGGTCCTACAGAATCCGGTGGAATGCCTAATTCTTCATCTGTCCAAGTGCTAGGATCAACATATGTGAATTCACCCTGAAAATATACAAAATAATAATTGATATTTCATTAAGTATATTTATAAATATAAAAGAAGTATATGAGCAACAAATCAGTGTACTGCTTTAACATAATTTATTTATACATTATCAGTCTCATAATTATAATGGAAGAAAACATGTATATACATACGAAGACATGTTCCGGCTCAGTAGCAAGATGGTAGAGAATCCAAAACCAACACAATCCACCAAGTCCATTAGCTAGCATTACTGTTTTCTTAGAAGGCATAGGAGGAGGTACCCTATATGTCCATACCCTGAAATAAAAACAAAAATTAGTAAAGAAGAAGAAGAAATAAAGAAGTTGTTGTATATATTTAAATAAATATATAAAATTGTTATATAGATGTCTAAGAAAGAAGAAATCCCGTTTAACTTATTAATAGAGAACAACAACTATTAATTACTGAGTTTTAAGTTTGTGGGTACTTCAAATTGATAGAACCTATTTCCAATTGCTAATTTTACCGAAGTATGACATAACAACCATACCCGTGTCCTGCGTTTCTTCTCGAGTGTTTCATAATTTCACCTACATTTTTTAAACTTTGTATTAAAACTGCTCTCGACACGAGAGTTCTTGCTAGCATTATAAAAAAAAATATAGGACTTTTTTAACTAAATTCTACGCAAAGAGATTGGTAATTGTGATTTTTATTTACCAATTAATTGGAATTGTTTAAGAAATTCAGAAAATATCTGACTGACGGACTGAAGATTACTCGCACTGACAGTAGACTGACGACTATTGGCCAGAATTGCTAGATGTAATTTTTTTATTTTTGCCTAAATTTCATGTGTTTCTCCAAATTCAGATGTTTCCATTAATTTATTACAACATCATAACCTTCAAGAGAAGGAAATATGCTTTTTTAAAAGGCCGCCAGCACACCTACAATGCCTTTTGGTGTTGTGAGTAGTAAGCTCGTTTGCCCCTGTGTTATAAAAAAAAATTACCAAATCACAAACTTGTGTCGATTTCATTGCGTTTTGCCATGTTTAACCATCAAACCGACGATGAAAACTCCTTTCTCTACACCTGACTTCTTCAACTCATGATGTTACCTTCAACGGTATATGCTATTGAATTTCCATTAAATAAAATTAAATTAATTTCTTCACTTAAATTTAATTTTTCTCTATCTCATTTCTTCAAAATCTCATATCACTAAAATCTGTATCCAAAATTGCAAAAACTATTTTATCAGGCAATGATGCTACTGACTGTTGAACTGACAATGACTGACTTAGACTATTTATTCTTACTACGTAAACCTGTCTCTTTCTCTCCACGCGTAAATTCTATTGCACTCGAACACTGTATTCGAAAAAGATTCTTTTTTATAATATCTGTGCAACCAGTTTATTGAATTTGAAAATTTACACTACTACGGCAGCTAGGTCTTTTACAGTACCTGTCATGCCTTAGGAACTACTCACACTTATTCGCTGAACGATTTTGATCACACTTATACAGCTCTGCTTCTATCAGCCGCGTACGGCGTCATAAGAATGATAAAAGCCGTCATAGCGTGCTATCTCCGCTAAAACGCTTGTCTACTACATACGGCGTTGAATATGCTGTATTTCGTAAAAATAAAATAATTATAATTACTATAAAATACGTTTAAAGAGTGCAGACGTATTTTATAGTAATCATTAATTAATAGGATTGATATCCTTGCGTACATAATAATTACTTAATATTAAAACAAATCAATGCAGAAACAATACAGTTTGCAACTTGTCGACAAGGAGTCGCGAAATATCCCTGGAAATAGCTGTTTCGCGCGTTCGACGGTAAATGCGGCGGAACAGCCCTTAATGCTCTGTATAGCATTCGCATGATAAATACACATTTATCCTCATTTTATACTGAATTGCTGCGAAAGCAGAATTGACGCGGAAAGCTGAATGGATGCGTATACGTCTCCATACAAAATCGTTGTTTCTATGGACAAAAGCTGACTAGAGCTGAATAAGTGTGAATAGTTCCTTAATATCAATATATTTTTTTTGACATAGACATATGATAAATAATTACAATACAGTAAATATTTATTGATATTATTTTCTTAGTGCATCTTACAGCTACATAGATTTATAATAGAAACTATTTCATCATATTAGGGTAGTGCCAACTTTTTTTTATTTGCTATTGCTACCACAGACCAACTTATCACGTTATCACTGATTACTGCTTCTTCTATCTCTTTTCCTCATCCCATTTTGATTTTCATTTTATAATAATTCTTTGCATTTTATAATTTTCATTTCTTTCTTATCTAATTATTGTTCATTTGCTTTGTCTCCTACTTCAGTAGATATAATCTCTCTGATTTGTGTTCCAAACAGTAATTCATCGATTTAGTTAATTATTCAAATTAAAAACAATGAAAAATTATGAAATATTGTGGAACATGAAGTAATAACTCTATAAATGCTGTAATATCAAGTCGTCTATTTACCATCACTACACGGATATTGTATGGATTTGACAACACTTATAGTAATAGTTTCATATTAGGCACAAGAAACAAAAAAGTAGATAATATGTCCTTTTCCATATGTCTTCTTCAAACTATTGCTTTTTTGGTTAGTTGTTTTTAATAATAAAAATTCAATTATTAGAACTTATTGACATATTTATCATGTTATCATTTATTTTAATGATTTCAGGACCTCTTGGCAGTAGGCCTTATCGTACCACTTGTGCCTGGCCATGTACGGAAAATGGGTGCAAATCACATATATGTGGGCTTACTTGGATCTATCTATGCTGGTTTTCAGTTGGGATCAGGCCCACTTATAGTATGTTAATATTATTTGTTTCACAGTCTTTCGAATTCTAAAACTTTTAAAAAAATATTCTTTGGAGTGTTTGACCATACCAATTTATTTAACATTACCATTACTAAGCATGAGTATAATTTCATAACAGGAAATAGCCTATTATTATCATACTAAACAGACAAAATTAATAGTCATAGATTTTGAATTATCTATCTATATCTTAACTCGCGTGTTATGCTTGGTTTCTCTATATACCTGTATGGATATCTATTATATATATTCTAAGTAAATAATAATGATATAATTGATGATACATCTCACAAAATTAGCTTTATTTATATATGGATAGATACAATTAAGCTATTTTACATATCAATCTTATACTTAATTGGCTGACAAATATTTGTATTATCTTCACAAACTGCCATTTTATTTTTCAGGGCAGTTTGAGTGACCTTAAGGGCCGAAAAGCAATATTAATGATGACACTACTTATATGTGCTTTAGCTTACACAATTATAGGGCTCACCCCTTCTATTGCAATGATTCTAGTCATTCGAGCTGTTTTAGGTATTATTACATGTACTTTTATTCTATATAGGCTGTTAATTTATCTTAAATATTAAAGTATTTGCCTTTGTTTTTTTTTTTATTTATTGCTATATTTAAACATTATGTAATTATAATCTATTGACTAAGGTTTTTCAGAAAATAGTGATCCTTAAGTTAAATATTTCTTTTTATATATATGTGGATTTTCTCTGCTTTCTAGGTTTATTCAAACAAACTCAGATGTTGACTAAAGCTCTAGTACCAGACTATGAAAAAAATGAACAGAAGCAGTCGGGTATATATGGAAAAATGGCTGCAATTTCAGGTGCAGGTATCACATTGGGTCCTGTCATTGGTGGGCATATAGCAGAAGATAATCCAGAAAATGGTTTTACTTTTATTGCAGTTGTTGTTGGATTTTGCTTTATTTTTAATGCTGGTAGGTACATAATTAATTATATTAGATGTTTTTATTGACTGAATTTTACTTTAAGTTTTTGCATTATTGCATTGCATGTTTAAACTTTCTGTTTAAAATAACATCTAGTACTATAATAATATAATTGTTATAACTAGCTAACTAGATGATAAATACATTTGACTAGCCTATCAGAGTTCAGTAACAAGTTTATTTAATTTAATACTATAACAGAATACTCTGGAGATTGATATAAATTGTATGTTTTTCATAATAAGTATAGTAGGAAACTACTTTTCACTGTATATTTTACTTATATTTCTAAACACTTATTTTCAGGATTAGCATATTTCTTACCTAAAACAAGCAGTAAAAAACGCTCGAAAGGAAAATCAAGCAAGAATACTGCACCATCCAAAAATATAATACATTCCTTCATAGGTAATATCAAACAGTCTGTAATAGAATTATACAAAGTTAAATGGTCTGAATATTGGGATATATTTTTGTTCAAAGCTTTAATAGGATTCACAATGGGTGTTTATTATTCAAATTACTCTTTATATTTAAAAACACAATATCAACTTACTCCAAAATATGTAGGTTATGTTATTTCATTTCAAGGAGTAATTGGTTCAATATCTAGCTTTTTCATAGGTTACATAAATAATTTTTATACGCATGACATTGATTATAGTTTACGAAATTTTCATGTTTTTGTCCTATTGAGTGTATCATTATCAGGCTTAATTGTGTCCTATAATGTTTTTACTTATATTATATGGTTAGTTCCTTTAGCTATAGGCAATGCAATAGGTAGGCTAGTGACATTGGAAATGATACTGAAGCGTAGTCATGGTGATCACAGAGGAACATTAATTGGAGCATCAAATAGTGTCCGATCTCTCTCTGGAGTTATAGCTCCCATGGTGGCAGGATTTATTGGGGAGTACTTTGGAGTTGCATATGTTATATATGCATCTTTTTGCTCTACCATATTAGGTCTTGCCTTGAGTTATCAATATAGATATAAACAACTCAAAATTGATTAAAAAAATTATACAGATTATTATTATATTTTTGTTATAAAAAAGAATATATTATTTAAAAATATGATTGTTTTCTTTCAAATCTGGTCCGTTTTGATCTATTAGTTTAAGTATCAGTATATTGACAGTATTTCCATGTTACTGAATTCCACTAAGTACTACTGATAAACTAGTTATGTTGCATTTTAAAACATCGAAACCTGATATCATAATACTGTTTACTTAAAATTTACAAGATTTAATGCAAAATTGATAAATAATAAAGGAATATTAAATAATAACCAAAATGTTGTTAAATAAATATTTATTTACATGCTTTCTTTATGGACTATATTAGACTGATATAGATCTATATCAAACTTTACGAACCTATAGAGAACTGTAATTAACAGATACTAATTTTATACTAAATGAATAGATAATAAATATACAATCACTCTCCTTCCAAACTTTGCATTTGTTTCCTTCTCATGTCTGTAATAAGTTTCTGAATATCTTCTCTGTCCTTTGCATTTTCCGGTGGAAAAATATTACGCTTGGTTTTTGTTACCCACTCCTCGAAATAAGCAGGTTGATTAAAATAATGGAAAAGTATTACAGGGAAAGACATGTACATTGCCATTCTTCCAACTTCTAATTTCCAGTTCCCCATGGTCAGTTTATTACCTATGAATGTCAATATCTGTATAAGATTCACAAAATTGGAATAATTTTGATAAAAACAACTTGGGTATCTTTGTTTTTTTTTTGTTTTTTTTTTTTTTTAGTACGTTTGTTCCGTTTGGAACAGGCTAAGGTCGGAGACCATGCTGCCTAGTCTTCAAAAAGATAATTTGTCTGGAATTTTTTTTTTGTTTCCGAGAGAGTTATGTGAATGTCACTGTCACTTCAACATCACCACAGAGTAAATTACAGATATCTGAATTGTAGGATAAGAGAGAAACATAAGAACAAGGAATTACATAAATTATTATGATAGTGTTAAAATAATTCATAGCAGGGTGGTGTATAGAAAATCTTATACGGCCGTATACTTTCTACATAAAATGTGTCAAACATATACTAGAGTATATGTAAAATTTGTCATTTACAAATAATTGATAATGTCATATATATATATATATATATATATATGACATTATTATCAAGTCAAAAAAATTAAGAAATACTATTTAAAAAAAAACCTTTTTGGTCTCGAATTTTATTCGTTATTCTGAGCTGTATGTTACACCAAAGATTCTGGTATAGAATTATTATAGTTATCAGATTTACGGCAGTAAAAAAAATTGATGCTGGAGTGATATTTTTCTACGAAACTTTATTTTATTAATCTACCGCTCATTTTAGAATATAATTTTTTATGTTATAATAATGTAACTTACAATGGCAAACAAGCTGACGACCCACCTCATGGAAAGTGATAACCGTCGCCTACAGACATAAGCTTGGACATAGTTTCGCCATACTGTTTCGCCCAGGATACCTCCCATGCGTTGCTATTTCTGAGGACTCAGGTGTTATTTCTGTATACCCTATAAACTCATTATTATATCAATACGAGGGGGGCAAAAGATTGTTAGTAATGGGGAGGTAAGTCCCCATTGTTATCAATATACCTTAACAGGTCGACCTCCACGCGATTCCCCCTAGAAACCATCGTGACTAATTTATCGTTAAATTCGTCACGATGAGCTAATTGACCTACCTTTTACCTCCACCAATCATCCCTCACTGGTGCCCCGCCAGTGTATACCGATAGCGCGAGCGGGCCTACCATTCCATTATCATCCATAACAAACCCTTCAAATCGAAACAACCAAACAAACACAACTGCTTTACGGTATTAACACGAATGGCACAAAGGTACCTAAGTAAACGATTTGTTAATGACGTTAAGGGAGTGAGAGGAAGGATTGTTAGCAAAGAGGCCGAGCACCCCCAATGCTATATAGCCTATCAGGCTGACTGTTATTTCTTAGACGTTAATAGAAGAGTAAAATATAAAACATCATATAAGTCGGATAAAAAAAAATACACTAAAAAGGTGTACAACGTGGTGGCTGCCAATAGTTCAGCAAAATTGAGCCTCACGCGTTTTTTCCTGAAAATCATCTTGATTAATTCCCATTGTATTCGTCGCACTGCCTAACTGACCTATCATTTTATTTTCATCTATCATCTTTAATTGGCAACCCACAAGCGCAAATTATTAGCGTAGGCAGAGCTATTGAACTCAAAACATTTTAGACTGGTTGTCTTTAGGATACTGTGTTAGGATATCATAGGTTCTTTATCTTTGTTATAGAAATGTTTCAAAATTTATCAAAATTTTTTATACTGTGGATTGAAGTGACTGATGAAACAACATTTTGTTTGATGTGACTGACGTGTATGTATAAATGAAACGAGATAACAACAACGTCAAGAAAAAAAAGGCGGGAAACTCGAATAAGAACAAGCGGGTTTTTTAAATTTTTTTTATTAATTTATAAAAACTATCTCTATCAATTCTTATTATTGAATAAAATATTATATTTTCACTAAATTCAGTGACAGTAATATAATTAGCATTCATGGGGAAGCGCAGTTGTAGGAAAAGGAAAAAAAAAGATGACGATTCAGGTGATGTAGACCATGAACCTTGTAATGACAAGGATATATATTCGGAAGATACTTCTACTGACTCAGAATCTGAAATTGATAAGGCCGATAAGTATAAACCTTACTACGTCACAGATTATATTAGAAGATATCCCGAGGAATCCCCTGGGACAGAATTTGTTGTCTTTGTAGAATCCTCAGATAGTCAGAAAACCATTGGATCCAGAGACTTGCTCTCACTCTCCTCCTGTTTAAAACGTTTTAATAAAGGGGTAACTTATCTTAGATCTATAAATAAATTCAAAATCGGAGTATACTTTCAAAAGCCAGACTTAGCCAATGCTTTTTTAAATAATAAAACTTTTTTAAATGACTACCATTTTAAGGCCAGTATTCCTGCTTCTTCAACAGAAGTTACAGGCGTTATTAGAAATGTACCTACAAATATATCTAATAAAAAAATATATACTATGATATCGAGTTCTAAGAAGATTATTGCTATTAAAAGAATTTTAAGAAAAAATACCTTGACTCATGGATATGTGTTACAGCCAACTCTAACCGTGACAATTACTTTTGCTGCATCTGTATTACCTGAATATCTGGATATTGGAGGTTGGCGCCACAATGTCACTCCATATATACCACCAGTTAAACAATGCTACCGGTGCTTGAGGTATGGACATTTAGCTAAATTCTGTAAGAATTCTGAGCGTTGCAGCATCTGCAAAGGTGAGCATAATTATAAAACTTGTACAACTGGAATGGAAAACGCTATTTGTGTACACTGCAATGGAAATCACACAAGTGTATCACCGCAATGCCCTGTTAAACAAAAGAAAATTGCTGAAAATAGATCTAAATTCAGACCTGCTTCTTTTGGAGATATACTTAGCACTGAAATATTTCCTAAACTGGGTAACAAACCTAAAAAAAATGTAGACCTAATTTCAATTCTAAATTCTGATAACAAGAGTTTATCACTTTTAATAGAAAGCATAATCAAACTTATTTCACTACATAACACAAAGAACACATCTATTAACACTAAAAGTGTTTTGAATGTGTTATATGATACTTTTGGTAATAGACCTATTTCACAAAATTCAATCGAGACCAATTAACTATTATACAGTGGAACGCTCAGAGCCTACTGAGCAATCGACATATTTTTACACAATTTTTAAATGAACATCATATTCACATTGCTCTCATCTCAGAAACTTGGCTAAAACCACATTACAAATTAAAAATTAAAGATTATTGTATAGAACGAAATGATTGTGGTAATAACCACAATGGAGTAGCGATTATTATACATAATAGTATTAGATATAAAAAACTTCACTCTTTTTTCGACAATTCTTTGCAAACTATAGCTATTAGTATTGAAGTTAATAATTCTTGGTATTCAGTTGCCAGTATTTACTGTCCTACCAATAGTACACCTAGTTTTACTAAAGCCAAATTTAAGTTCTTTTTGGAGTCTCTTCCTAAACCCACTATCATATCTGGAGATTTAAATGCACATCATACTATGTGGGGTTGTACCTCCACTAATACATGAGGTAAAGACATTCTTGATTGTTTAGATGAATGTAATTTGGTACTATTAAATGATAAGCAAGTTACTACTGTTGGCTCTCATATTTGGAGACCCAATGGCCTTGATTTAACTATGGTATCCCCATCCATATCATTAAAATGCGAGTGGTCGGTTCATGATGATCCGTTAGGAAGTTATCACCTGCCGACTTTTACTAAAATAAACACAAAGAACTCTTCATCAACTCCGTCAGGTGAACAACATGCTCCTATAGATGAAGTTAATAAACTTTTGTTAAATCGTATAAACCTACGTCTCGTTAATTGGGATCTTTATTCTGAAACTGTTAATCAATTACTTTTGGATTTCGAGTATGATGTCAATGAACCCTTAAACAATTACAATAGGTTCTGTAAAATTATTTTGACAGCTGTGGAACGTTCCGTTCCACGTAGGAACTTATCAAATAGCGGTGCAAATACTTCAAAGAGGCACAAACATATTGCAGTACCTTGGTGGAATAACAGGTGTGCGACAGCTGTCAATGATAGTAAAGCGGCTTACCTTAGGTTTAAACAAAATCCAACTCTCGATAATTACATAAATTTTAAAAGAGTTCAAGCTGTTAAAAAGTTAGTAATTAAGCAAGTAAGACAACAGGGGTGGCAGGAATTTTGTTCCAAATTTAATAGATTAACACCAATTTCCACTGTTTGGCAAAATATGAGAAAACTAAATTCAAAACATCGTCAAAATCATTTTAAAGATATATCATGGGTCAATGATTTTTTACGCAAATATACTCCTGATTTTGTACACTCACCTTTTGATGACAAACAGTTTAATTCTGTTAATTCATGCCCAAAATTTCTCACTGACCCATTCTCAATTGATGAAATATCCAGTGCAGTAAAATCTAGAAAAGATACAGCTAGTGGCCTTGATCGCTTAACATACAATATGTTTCGATTGCTGAATAAAATAAACCTTACTAAACTCTTACAAATTTTTAACGATTTATGGAAGGACTGTATTATCCCACCAGAATGGAAAATGGATTGTTTGATTCCAGTAATTAAACCCGGTAAAGATCCTACAAATTTCGACTCCTATAGACCTATAACATTGACGTCCTGTGCAGGCAAATTATTCGAACAATTAATTAAACAGCGTTTAGAGTTCTTTATTGAAAGTAATAGTATATTACCATCGAATCAATTTGGTTTTCGCCGTGGATATTCAGCGCGCGAAAGTTTAGCAAACTTCTATGTCGACCTTAGTACTGCTTTGAATAACGATGAATATGTTCTATCTGTTTTTTTAGATGTCGTAGGAGCTTTTAACAATGTAAATTTAACAGTTCTATCTTCGATTTTATCCTCATTTCTTCCAATGAAACTTATCGAATGGATTTATAATTTTCTTAGTAATAGAGAAGTGTTTGTTAAAGTAAATAGTAAATTAATAGGACCTAGGTTAAGCTCTAAAGGAGTATGTCAAGGTGGTATTCTAAGCCCGCTACTATATATTTTATATATCTATAAACTTAATTCAATTTTAGGAAACAGTGTGAACAACTTGCAATTTGCCGATGATTTATTAATTTATATAAAAGGAAAGAATATTATTGATATGCAATTAGTGTTAAATGAGTCATTAAAAAGACTTGAGAAATATTTTTCTCTTCTTTCCCTCGATATTAGTTTAACCAAAAGTAAAGTAGTTGTTTTTCATCAAGTTCATAAATATGTTCCATTAATGAATATTATATATAATAATCAAACTCTTCCAACAGACTGTAGCGTTAAATTTCTGGGGGTAATTTTTCATCAAAATTTAAAATGGGATCTATACGTTGATTGCTTAGTAGATCGTGCTTTAAGAGCCACTAATATAATAAGATCTGTAATTGGTCGTAACTGGGGAGCTGATCCTAAAATTATCCTTTTACTTTACAAATCTCTTGTTAGAAGTAATTTTGATTACGCTTTCTTTTGTTATGCCTCAGAACATAAATTAGTAGAAAAACTCGAAAAAATTCAAAATATGAATTTAAGACTTATTTTAGGTGCTATGTATACTTCTCCAATTATCTCAATGCAAGTAGAATGTAATTTGCCTCCTATCCTTCTTCGTTTCGAATACCTAAAACTCAAATTTCTCTTCAAAGTTTTTTCAGTTTCCAATAACCCACTCATACTCAAATTATTAAATTGCCCCATTTCTATGTTTTTGAATAAAACTATTGTCAATGATTTGAATTTACGAGATGAATATAACATCTATAGTAGTAAGATACTTCCTTGTTATAATGGCCTTTATGAGAGTAAGTTCTGTAAGATCAAAATTGTTATACGTAAAGACATAAAAGAAAAGCACGATATGTATGAGACTTTATCAGGATTTATTGACTACAGGCAGATATATACAGATGGTTCCAAAAATGCACTTAGCACTTCAGTGGCTTTTTACGATTTGTCAAATAGATTTGGTCACGGTTATAAAATTTCAACTTTGGCTAGTATTTACACAGCAGAAGCAAAAGCTATATTTTTAGCATTAGAATACATAGAAAAACAGGTACTATATTCGAAATGGATTATAATTACAGATAGTATGAGTGTTCTTATGGCATTAAAAAATAACACATTCATTTCATCATCAAACTACTTAATTCAAGAAATTCGTAATAAATATTATCATCTCTGTACTATATATGGAAAAGATATTATCTTCATCTGGACCCCTTCACATATTGGAGTGTTTGGGAATGAACAAGTAGACACTTTGGCTAAAATTATTAATTCAAGTGCTGCTCGTGTTCAAGATTTACCCCTTTGTTACTCAGATTGTAGTATTGGAATACATAAAATCGTTACAACTAAATGGGAGGAGCATTGGACTCAAATATTACAGACTAAAGGCAAATGGTACCGCAAAATTAATTGGCGTATTGGAAAACCGTGGTTCTGCAAAGGAAAGGACACAAACAGAAAATTTTACACCAATATTTGTAGATTACGAATCGGCCACGGACATTTCAACGAACACCTGCACCGAATGGGCATGATCGCTTCCCCATCATGCACATGGTGTAACTCAAATACAGCCCAATCTCTACATCACCTTTTTTTGATTGCTCTGAATTTGTCATTCAAAGACACATTATGTTTGACGAACTTAGGATTATCTTCAAAAAACCCGAAAATATCCCGCACTCAATCCCGCTTCTCTTAAGATTTCCTTCTTGTTTCAAAGCTATTTTCACTTATATTACTACAACATTCAAGGAGCTATAAGAATACTTTTATTGAATTGCAAGACAATGATTTTTTATAATTATTTATTTTTAATTTGATAAATCCACTGGTTTAAGAAAACTCAAGAAAAGATATTTATGAAAATGTACTTACCGGATTTGACAAATGAAATATTGAAGATTATGACAATAATTGAAGCGACATTAGAAAAATAAAATTCCAGACAATTTATCTTTTTGAAGACTAGGCAGCATGGTCTCCGACCTTAGCCTGTTCCAAACGGAACAAACGTACTAAAAAAAAAAAAAAACGTACGTAATCGTAAAAACAGTGAAGTTGTATCTTGAGCGTTTCTTTAGTGTTACATCTATTATTTATTATTCTTTCTAATTTCACTTGCAATGTACAGACGACAGATAAATTTAATATATGTTGAGTGATAATGTGATATGATTTAACTTTGGAAATGGAGACAAATGCAAATGTGAAGGGTAAGTAAAAACTAGGTGTAATGTACCTGTTCTAATTTGTGTGTTTGTGTATGAATAACTGTTTTCTACAACGAATTCAGGTGACGTATTAGGTACTTAATTCAATAATTCATTTTTTTCGTATGCATTACGAAAATTTTTGTTTAATACAATGACCTAGGTACGGATATTGGCACTATGTTATGACTCCTGTCCATATCTTTAAAATTTCTTAATTTTTTGTCAAAATATTTAAACACCGTAATGACAAATTCTAAAATTATGTTTGTATAATAAATGTAATTATTATTATTGTTTCCCCTTTGAATTGTCTTATATAGTATGAGTCATTTTTAAGCATTCTGAGGTCATGCACGTTGAATGCTAATAAACAAATCGCGCGCCGCGACCTGGTGCTATTACAACGCAAATCGTAAGGTGGTACCTGCTAATAATTGAAAGTTTGGGGATAGTTTGCACTAATACCCTTGATTCTGCTATCATCCTAATTCTTATTAATTTTCTTAAATCTATTATTATTTTTTATTTACTTATATTGATGAGGTTGATTCAAAGTGTCAATCCCTATATATATTTCTAGACTTAAAATTTAAAATTGATAATTTATAGAAAGTTATATATTACAGTACTAAAAACTAAATATTAATTAGTTCTAATTGAAATTAAAAATCTAATATAAATTTAGTTAATAATTGTTGTTAGCATAAAATCATTATCTGTACTAAGATTATAAAAAGGGAAGATTTGATTGTTTGTTTGTTTGTTATGAATAAACTCAAAAACTACCTAACCAATTATAAAAAATCCTTGCCTTTTAGATTATCAGTGAGTAATATATGTTATATATTATTTTTGGAAATTCCCTCAACATGAGCTGGGTCACTAAATAATAGATATATAAAATAAATAAAGTTGCTATTTTTAATATTACTCTCCTGTTCTATGTATTGCAACAGCAGTCTTGTAGTAACAGAGTATACTGTGTTATTTGTGATACCTTTCATATGTCACAATTCCTGAGGACTAAGGTTGTATATCTCTGTACTCTTTAATTTTAATGCCATATTCCACCTTTAGACTGAAATAAAGCTATGCCAACAACTGCTTCATGGCAGAACACAAATGGGATAGAGGTACTCGAATGAACAACAAATTATAAAAAAATATATAAAATTGTATAATATGGGTAATATTATAGAAATAATATAAATATTTTATATTACTTAATATCATCTATATAAATAATATAGTAAATTTCATCAAACTCAAAATTGGCCTATTGATTTTTAGTTGTAGTTTTCTAATTGTAGTTCTAGTATCAGGAATTTTTAATTAAATTTCATGTACATGCTATCTAGACAGATTGTATTCTACAAAAACTTACTTTAATAGTAAATAAAAACAGAAAGTATGAAGTAATAAAATCAGTTCAGAATTGGCAAAGAAATCATTACAAAACATAAAAAAACAAATTTGTTAAAAATTGAGTTCTATTTTAAAGTTGCTTAAAATATAATATCATCATTGTATTTATTTTATTTTTTTATATCACATGAGTATGAGTGAATTAAGTGAAGTGTTCAGTAAAGGTTTATATTTTAAGAAATACATAAATATGAAAATTATATAAAAATTAAAATATTTATTCAATTGGTCCCTTGCAAAATTAAAAAAATATAAAATAATAAAAAGAGAATGTTTTATTACATAATAATGTTATCTTTTTTTAAAAGTAGAAAATGAAGGATGTCTGAAATAGTTGATTATTGTTGATATTAAAAACTGATTGATATTATGTTTGTTTACACCAAATTTTTACTATATCTGAATTAACTGTAATTTTTCACATATAATTTAAATTTTTTCAATATTTATGAATGATTAAAAAGTCCTAAGATATGAAGATTGTGAATTAAAATGCTAAGGATTTATTACTTTTAATACTAATCCATATCATTCTTTTAATCCATTACCAAATTTATGTTATTGTATTTTGTTTCAAATGACATGACCCCTGTATCCTATACACTAGACTAGGCTACCTTAAGAAACTGGTTATTTAACATGAGAGTTTATCTAAAATTTTTAAGGTTTTATGTTAGTTGTTATGTTGTTTGAAAGAATTTTTCATGTATGCATGTGTATATGTATTGCATTTATCTCACAATAAATATTCTTTTGCAGTGTCCTGTATTGTGAACTACACATATGATGCATCAGAACCCGATGAGCTGACTATCAGACCAGGTGATGTTCTCCGAGATGTGGAGAGACTGCCGGGAGGCTGGTGGCGAGGGGAACTGCGTGGCCGTCGGGGCATGTTCCCTGACAATTTTGTATCAGTGCTTGCTGAACAAACCACTGCAAGGTTAGTTTATATATTGTCATAGTCGTAGAATACTGACTTATCTGACAAACATTAAATATATTATACATACCAGAGTTTACCCGCAACTTCATCTATGTGACTGGAATATGTTTAATGACCAGGATAAAATGTAGTCTAAATCCTTCTTCATTCAACAACTTTTTTAATTGTAACAAACAAACAAGCTCAAAATTTAAATTGTAACTTACTATTTTATATGTATACATATATACAAATATGTTTGTATGTAATGTATGCTACAATTTACAGTTATGGTTCTTAACAATAAACATGAACAAATATATACAATTTTAATAAAAAAAAAAAAATATGTCATAAAGTACATAAATTTATTGAGTACTTATATTTTTTCTAGTATAGGGATGTAAGAACATATCAAAAATCATATTATTTGTATTCATACGTAACATTTATCTGGAGTATTATATTGACATAGCTGTGTGTGCCCTGGCATAGGATGGGTCACCCATTCCTTTCCTATGGGTGTTGTAAGAGGTGACTAAGTGAGAGCGAGGGATGGGCAGCAGCATCCCTCTTAAAACATCTTTAAAAGCCTAACTGTGGTTGCCAACCTGCTTACCAAACGTGGCAACTACTGGCAAAACTCTTCTTATGACTAAAGTCCAGCAGTGGACAGTTAACGGCTAAAAAGTAATAATTATATTGACTTACCATGGGTTTTCTATTTAAGATAATTGTAGGTTTCTCATAGATAGTACCACAAATTTTTAATAGTACATCCTTTATTGATGACAAAACTCTACCTACCTATTATTTAGCTTGCCCTTTAGTTACAACTATTTATTAATAACGAATTTACTTTCACACTAAAGTATTTGTAAATAATTACTCCTAATGCAGTTTATGTTAAACATTTTGGACAGATTTTATATATATATATATATAGGAATTTGAAATTAAAATTTAGCCAAAATCAGTTAGTTTGTCAATTACTGCGTTTAATTTAAATCCATATCATAAAATCTTTTTAGGCGTTATATATTTATTTTGCATTTTTTATAATAATATGATTTGAGGTTTGAAAGAAATATCTATAATTATAAGTGTAACAATTTTCAAGTAAATTTTATTTTATAAAAACAGCTATGATATAGAGGACTTATTGCTACTGAACTTACATGTAAGGATTTTTGCAATTTCTGTGTGGATTCCTAAAAAGTAGGCATGGTAATGATTAATCATTTGTTCTGTATTCGTCATTTAAAATGAGTATTAAATAAAATGAGTAATAGGAAAGCATATGAAGTTAAAAATTGTACGTGAAGTAAAACTATTTTCTGACATTTGATAACTGCAGGCTGACGTGTGAAGGAAGTTGAGATTAATGATAATAATTATTAACTGTAGCTGGGATGTAGGTTATGTACGTCTGTCTTCACAAAATATCATGAATATTTACTTTTTTTTAGCTATGTGGCTATCTCTTACTTTAGTATTTAATACTTCTATGTATTTCAGCCCCTAGGAGGTAGGTAGTTAACCTTTATCATTAAACCACAATAGTAAAAAATCCACAAAACATAAATGTTTAGAAATTTCATCAAAAAAGTACTTTTTTATGTAACTTACTAAGGTGAATAAGTTGATGGCACACCTGATAGAAAGTGGTACCATGGACATAACAGAGTATGCTTAACAACAACTTTTAAAATTCGGTTGAATTACGCCAAATAGGTATTTGTTGTATTTGGCGTAATTTCAACCGATTTTAAAAAGGAGAATATGTACCTTACGTGATGTTTCACCAATTTTGCTCCGATTTCGATTATTCTTTTGCAATCAACAGAATATTTCCTGTGTTGGTTTCGCAGTACTCTCGAAATAGTTTCTTTTTGTGAATCAATCTCTTAAGTAGACGTACTTACCTATCTTAATTCTTGTTTCAAAAGCCTGGTTCGAATTACTTTAAATTTAGTTCTTAATAGTACGAAACATAATATTTTGGATAAACCAATTATGTTACCTAACATTTGTTTACAGCTATAACAAAACTGATAATAATCCGGGAAAGGTCGCTTTAGGTTGGCTTTCACGACATTGTATACCTACCGTGGAATTATGTTACGATATTTGCATTAAAATAGTGTAAGTTGTAACTGTAATAGTTGTAAGATTTTATATCATCCTTTATTAACAAAAGACGAATATAAAAGGATCTAATTTTGTTTTTTAGTGAATCTATGAGTCGGAGTTCAGTGAATAATAATAATTTACATTATGTAAATTATCTAAAATCGATCCGTTAATAGCTGTTACAGTTAGAATCGTGTATTAGCAATATACTGTATGTTGGTCTAGGCGACAGTTCCAACAGAACTGGTTTGAGTATGTAATCATATATCCATATCCTGTATAGTTACTTACTATAATAAAACTGTAAGAAACGTATTTATTTTGGAAATTTTAACTGAACGGCATGAAATAAGCTATTAAACACAAACTACTCATTTTATAAACTGAGGAAAGAATTTTGAATAGCTATTAGCCTAATTTTAAGAAATCTTAAACAGTTATCAATTAAGTATATTTTCTTAATAATTACTAGTTATAATAACTGCTGATTGCCGTGTGGTCTGGGTATAGAATAGGTCACCTCTTCGATATCCGTGGGTGTCGTAAGAGGGGACTAAGGAGGGCGAGGGATAGGCAGCTAGCTGCGTCTCTATTAAAACGTCACCAAAGCCTGACTGCGGTTGCCAAGCATGACAACTGGCAAAACCCCCAAGGGAGAGGCTTATATTCAGCAGTGGACAGTTAAAGATTGATATAATGATGATGATATGATAACAACTATATTATTGTTATACATCTATGTTTTTATAGAACCCTATTTGGTAAATATAAACTTCTAATTTGAGTGTATCATTATGTTCTGCAAATACTTCTTGTTAACTGAACTTTCAGACTTCTCGCTTTATTCAGAACGAAGATAATAGAATCTGCTTATTCTATTTTGTAGTCGGTCAAAAATAGTATATTTTACTATAACTACTGTAATAGATTCGTAACGATGAACATGAATGATGTCATATTTCTACTCAAGGATTAGTAAAGTAACTCTACAGTATATAACAATGTATATATCAATACCAACTGAGAGTCATGTTGAATCATTTAACTATATTTATGTCATATCTACTTATGATGTTTTCTACAGCACATACCTATGCGTAATATTATCTAAAATCAATAATAATAACGAAATAATGTATTTGCAAAATATCTTAAGAAACAGTATAGTACAATGCGGTAGTGTATACAGGGCACGTTACTGGAGAATGGTTGCGGTTGATATTTTTTATGTCTATAGAAAGTCAATGTGTATGAAACATCGACCTATGTGAGATGAGGATTAATGATGAAAAGTTATTTAAATCGAAAATCAATATCCGTCGCCAAAACATAAAGCTTTATTGATAAGCGACAATAAATTATCATTACCTACATTGTATTAAATTAATGCTATTGACCAATAAGTGCAGTGCATTTGCTGTACGCAACTAGTTTAAGTGTCAAATGATTGGATATGCTCATTTAATATTTCTTCGATTAATATCGTTATAACAAATGTACAGTATATCTTATCAGGGCGGATAAGGTTGTGATAACGCTTGGTTTGCTAGTCAGTGTTTGTGCGGCCGTGGGTGAATTATCTTATAACAATCCCAAATTCGACATTAACATATTTGGGAACTTAGTGAAATATATAATTTATATTGTGGCCATTATTTATTTAAGGTTGGATTATGGTACGACCTTTCGATCCTATTATAAAACAGGGACAATGAAACCGTAAGTAATTAATTTTATTATCATAATGGGACATCGCAAATTAAAGTTTAAATGAGTAAATGATGACCACTTCAATTTATTAAATCACAATGACTATTGATTGAGTCAGCACGGGTCGTTATTTGTTAGTATTTAACTGTTCAGTACGGGCTTATTTATATTAGCAGTTTGAATCGTATGTTTTGATTGTGGTTAAATAAGACGATAAAGTTGTTAATACTTTTTATCTTATCCATAAATCTATGTGGTCAGTAACTATATATATATATTTAATTTAAAAATTAATATAAGTCAAATCGAAATTATTTGCATTCTTTTCAAAAGACTATTCCATCAGCGAAACTGGATATATTTCCCAAATAAAAATAGGTCAACATGAACAAAAGGTTTTCTACTTCCAATACTAATAGGAGAGCCATCCAGCTAACAACCCACTACGGCCCATAATTCTTTGGAAAAAATGTTCAATTTCATTGGTCTTCTTGAAAAGATAATATTAAAATGTTTCTTTGTTTATACTTGACAAAAATTCAGTACCTAAAAACTAAACAACTACGGTTACAATTGTACATTTCTACAGATTTTACAAATTTTAATGAAGTACTCAAACAAATAGTATTTATATAATATATTTATTATAATTTCTATGTGTGTGTGGTATATGTCATAGGCTCATAGGTGACAAAGTATACGTATTATTTTAAATTAGTTTGAAGTCGTCGCCACAGAATGCATATTAAATGTACCCGTTTAGAGCTCCAAATAATAAAGTAATTTATTTTAGTCCCTCGCCTTTGGTTTGTGTATTAGACGTCCCACTCGTTGGTAATTGATGTCATTCTTTCCTCTTTGAACAATGTGCTATTTGGTACTTAAACAATTGCAAGGATTGTTATTTTGAGATTAAATTATATATTCCTATGAGATTGCATTAGATTCTAAAAGAACATGGTACTATATATAAAATATAAAGTGCATACATAAGTACTATATATTATTCTCATTTTCGTGTGTAATATAGTATATTTTATATATGTGTAAGTATATTTGTTATTTATATATATTTATTCGTTTATATATGTAATTGTAATATGTATCAATAATTACAAGTACCGCATTCGAGTATTCTGACACGTCCCTATGGTGGACCGGGAGAAAATGATTTAAGCATTAAGTCCGCCATGTACACATATATGTACTAATGACTAAATAAATAAATAAATGTACTTGTATATAAATAAAAATTGTTAATTTGATCTAAATCTTTCATTCAATTAGCTGGAGCACTCGCCTTTGCATGCAGTATTTTCTCAATTTACAGTAAGATTTCTAAGTTTGTCAAATTTTGGACAAATTAAATCATTAGAGTTATAGGAGAATAATTGTGTTTCATAAAATAAACCGATTTTAGTTGTGAAACAAGAAACATTTAATTTGATTAAAAAAAAAAAAAAAAAAACTAAACTACTGAGCCAATTTGATAAAATTTTTGTGGGATCAATCTGTAAGTATATTTTTTTTTTTTATAAAAAAGGATTTTTCAAATCGGTTTACAACTGACGGAGTGATGAGGTAACAAATAAAAAAAAATACAACCGAATATAAGAGCCTAAACAAATAGTACCTATTTATTTTTGATGTCGGTTGAAAATGAAATGGACGTGGAGAAATTTGGTTATTTTTTGACATATGTAGTATGTGAAAACCGCATAATAAGTAGTATATAAATCCATAAAATGATGTAATTAATCGTAGCAACCTCTAGAGCGGCAGCACGTTATGAGTAGTACCATGGGTGCATTCTGTCATGGACGTGACATGATGCTGTCTGTTTTTAGGCAATTGTTAAATATATATAAAACCAATTGTATAAAAAGGAAAGACTTTTGTTTTTTAATTTATGATTTTAAAATTTTTTCACTTACAGAAAAATAACGTAATTTTTTGCATATTACGAGTATCACCCAGAAAGTCATATTTTATAAAAAAAAATCTTCAATATCCAATCTCTATCAAGTATTAAATATATCATTATTTACGGTATACTATGCTTATAAAGAAATGTATGCATTTGCATTTAATTTGGCACGTTGTATTGTATGCGTATCATACAGAGAAATAATCTTATTCAAATAAGTATAAAAAAAAAAAAACAAGATTGTTATGTTCCGTATAAATCTTTGTTGACGCCTATTATAGGTTGTATTGATGTTTGAATAAATCTATAGCGAGAGTGAGCGGAGAAAGGAGGACAAACGCTGACATATTATGAAGATGAGGTATCGAACTAGTCGCTTGCAACCTGTTGGTTGACTGCTTTTGTATGCGTTTCGAGTGTTTATTCCGAAGTGTGACCACGTGTGCATTTTATTTGTCAACTTTTAAAAACAAATAGTAAAATGCATCACACAATCATATTGTTTTCTAATTTTCAAGTTAGTAGGTATCATAGATTTATTTTAGTTTCTTAGACCACAAGAGAATTATGATAAGAGAAAATTCCAAACGGACAAAATTAAGTACATATTTAAATTGTAGTAAACGGGTATTGTATAGAAGTGGTATACGAATTAATTAACATATTATATAGTATTTTAGGGTTTCGTACCAAAAAGGCGCAAGTAAATTCTTATGATGCCATTTTATCCGTTCGTTCCTCCTTTTGTCACAGCGCTATATCTCATCAACAATTTGAATTAAAATAATGGATTTAAAATAGTTTAACATAATGTTGGCCTATACATTATGCAATGAAAATAATTGAAAATAATATTATTTTCTTTGCTGAGGGGTCCAAAAGGGGTACTCAAAATTTCAAAATTGACCTATTAGTCTAAGTGCTGTATAATGTGAAAGGGGTTCATTTTTATACTTCTAAACTGTTTTTTATTTATTTTTATGCTGTGTAGTTTTTTAAGCTTGTGAAGACATATCCTTGTAGTATAAAAGCCTCTAAATAAAAAAGATAAAAAAAAATTTGTGATGCGAAAAATCATATTATAAAAGTATATGAGAGTGTAAAAGTATATGCTTTTAAACACTATTATAGTTTAAAATAAAAAAAAAAATACGAATTCTAGTATCAATAATATTAACTACAAAGTATCTATTTTGTGCGAGAAATATAATAAAGGTTTTTTTATCTCATAATTATACATTTCTGTACGGAGTCCTCGGCGTGAGAGTTTAACACGCACCTGACCGGTATTATTTTATGTTGGTGCTTATTATAAGAACTTGGTTACTCCTACTTTACTTATAGGAAGGTATAACATTTTGAGGTGGTCATGACACAAAAATAAACAAACGTACTTATCACACATTCTATAAAGTTGATTATCAAAATAGAAATGGAATCCTTGAATGTAAATTCATTTTATAATTAGATAATATTTTATTGATAAGATAAATATAAGTAATATATAAATTATTATAATTTGACGACACGATCAAAGAATTTATAATCGATCGTTTAAAGAATTTCTGTCTATGTACATTCATACGTACATATCCGTCACGCTGTCTCCCATTGGGGTAGGTATATATGTACTTTCAATATGTAATAATTAGTATTTTTAAGTGACAACGAAAAGGAGGAGATTACACAGCCAATACTTGTACTTTGGATCAGGTCTGGTGGCGTCCAAGGTCGCTGCCGGGCGGTGTTCAGCTACCAGCCTGCAAATCCGGACGAATTGCCATTGTGTGTGGGAGATGTGCTCGAAGTACTTGGAGAGGTATCTACCCTTTTGTTTTATAATATAATTTTTATAGAATAATACCTATCGGGAGACATCTGTATTGAACCGCGTTCATGAATAAGGGCTCCTATTGAATTCGAAACTAGTCGGACATTTCTGAATTTAAAACGTCAGTAAAGCCGACATAATTAAATACAATATTTTTTTTGTTACATTCGATGAAATCGAGATCATTAGTGTCCTTTATGTCATGTATGTTATTTATACTGGTGTGTTGCGCATTAACTTTGCTAATTTTAAAAAGATTTTGAAAGTTATTTTTCATCTTGAAGTTTTTTCAAAATATTGTCAAATACTTGTTCTGACTTCGTCCCTATCTATCGATACTTATCAGATTTTTTCCCCATCAGGACTCCTGTGACATACGCAGAAAACATTAAATCCGTGTTATTTGTTTAGGTAGAGGAAGGATGGTGGCAGGGCCGGCGGCAGGGCCGTGTCGGCGTGTTTCCCTCAAACTTTGTAGTAATGTTGGATCCTCCACAACCGGCTCCACCTTTTGAACCTGCGCCTGCGCTCCCACCCAAACCAGGTCAGTATTTTATAGTAAATTAGTAATTTGGTCTTTTGGCTCACTTTAAAATTTAAACATGTACCTTCTCATAGACTGATTTATGAAACTTTTCTAAGCCATCTGCATCCATTGACTTCCGAATGTAAATTTTATTGTTGTTTGTTTATATAAAAAGAAAAATTAAAATTAATTTTAATATTTCATTTATTACGTAGTATAAATAGAAACGTGGGAAAAAGTTATATTTTCGATATTTTCGGGTGTAATAAATCTTTGTTGTTTCGAGGTCTAAAAGTCGGGGTTATTTACAACTAGGCCATGACATGACATTCTTAAATAAACTTAATAAATAAAGTAATAAATATTTGTAAACAGTGAAGGAGTTATGCCGCGTATTATTTCCATACACCGCCGTGAACGAGGACGAGCTGACGCTAGCCGAGGGTGATATAGTGACCGTCGTATCGAAGGAAGCGCCGGACCGCGGCTGGTGGCGTGGCGAGCTCCACGGACGCGTCGGCCTGTTCCCTGATAACTTCGTGCAGCTGTTACCTTCAGGTATTTAGTTGTTTGTATTCTTGTTTATAAATAGTCTTCTGTTATATAATATGAATATTATATGTCGAATTATTCTACACAGAAAGTTGTATCTTAAAAATGTGGACATCATCCAATTAAATTATTCAAAACTTGACCTTTTAAAAGATTTACATATAGGTTTAAGCGAAGGGAAAGTATTAATGAAACTGAATATTTTCCTACAGAAACATGAGTCGAAAAACGACAAAAAATTGTAAATTAGCAGTAATCACTAATATGACAAAAAATCTTATTTGTTTATGATGAGATTACAAAGTAAAAAAAAATTGTAGTTATGTAATATTAAATTGAGTGCGTCTTCATGTATCAATGTATCTGTAACTTTTATATCTAATCTAATTTGGACAAAAACGATTTAGTAATCATAACAAACACACTATTATTAGTAAAGATAATATGTATAACTGTAGTCAAAAAGCGTAGTAGGGCGCGGTAATGTGCAATTTAAGGTAGTGAATTCTACTCATAATATATGTTTATCGTAATATTTCACTAATTCCTCCGAGTGCCCCATCGGGGATAATATTTGTGAGCTTTTTTCACTTGGTACTTGTGAATCATACATTATTTTGTGTGCGTGTGCGTGTGCGTGCATGTGCGTGTGCGTGTGCGTACGTGTGCATGTGCGTACGTGTGCGTGTGGGCGCGCGCGTGTGTGTGTGATATTATGTTTGACCGAAATCGGTGCGATTCGATTATGAATTATAAATAAGTGAAAAAATAAATATGCTCACGTCTGTAGTCCCTGATGAGGTATCAGAGACATTTGACTATTGTCATTGTGAAGAATACTAGAATAGTAATATTTAACATATCATTCTCCTCATTTCACTTAGCTTATAGAATCTTACGTGACAAGGGTCGAACTTGTCTTCGTCATTTGGATTATTTTGGTTTTAAGTGGTGTTTCAATTACCAGAGAGTTACTGGCAAATTGGCACAGATTTTTTGTGTCTGTTAGTTAAAAATCGTGTATTCGAATACACGATTTTTAAGTACTATAAGCTTAAAACCACTAGCACATGATTTTTATTAAGTATATGTAACATACGGTAACTATACAAAATGCGATTTCTAAGAATGCGATAGTAATATAGATAAGGCAAAGATACCAGTTAACAGTAAATCTTTTATTGTGTCTAAGCAATAACAGTTCGTATAAGAATGACTTAATAAGTGAAATAATAAGAATAAGAATTACAACATAAGTAGAATAAGCACCGACGATCGTTAACCAAATTTCACTTTTAAATAGACTGCCGTTTACGTAATTGTAACTGAATATTCCAAACGTAACTAACCTTGACTTTAGTAAAAATTTGAGTTTATTTTGTATCTATTTAATAGTTGTGTCAGCAACGTGATTCACATATAGTATAATGCATAATAACATGTTATCAAAAGTTTTTTTTTTTATGACTGGTAAGCCTGTTTGTTACCGCTATACGCTGGCGGTGGTACTAGTGAGGGATGATATGAGAGGATACAGTAGGTCAGCTGGTCCACTGTGACGAATTCGTCAAATTTTAACTACGATGGATTTTATGGGGAACCACGTGTAAGTCGACATGATATTATTATGGATATATTGCTAGCAATGAGAATTTTAGGTCCCCATTACTAAAAATACCTTTCCTGTATCTATATTTAATTATTTAAAAATATAAAATTATTTTCTGATCATTAAAAAGGTGCAGAACTTATAAGACAAAATAAATATAGAAGTTATAAGAAAACACTCAAAACTATTTATTATGCAAAATCGTATGAAAAAGTTGATCTGTTTTCTCGAAGCATTTATATAGAGACTATCTGTGTAATCTAAGCCTATAGTATAATTTAAAGTTTTCTTAAGCTTTCTACAGAAAAGTTGAGAATTTTTGAAGGCAATTTAAAGTTTGTTTTCGTTTCTTAATTATTGAAGATTAAAGATCTTGTTAAATAGCATATTTTTCTTTTACACACGTATCACGGGAATGCAAATCTTACGTTCTAGGGAATAAAGTCTACTATGCAATAAGCAGCCATAAGAGTTCTGTAGTAATGAGTTGTTGAACTAGAAATTTTTCCGGGTTAAGAGCACAACGCAGACGTGAGTGGCTCTACTTTATTGTGTGTGAACATAATTATGTAATCTTGTTACTTTGATGGTAACTAATGTTGCCATTGACATTGAAACCTTAATTATGAGTTTCATTACAAAATATGTTTATATACAATTATCAACCATATTCAATCCAAAATGTTTATACAGTGAGTGTAAAAAGTATTCGTACACCTAGGGTTATAATAAAAATAATACGAATTTGATAGACTTTCCTCTATTTATTTAATTTAAATCAATACTGTTAAATAGTTTAACATTCCCGCACTTTATTTATGATAATTTTTGTTTTTTTTAAAAAAAATTATACAACATAAAAATATTTTTACGTTAACTAAGCAAATAATGACAAACAAAAAGTATTCGTACATTCATTTTTTTTTAAATGAAATTCTGTATAAATCATTTATTCAATCGAATTTTTCATATGCCTACAATGCCAAGGTCATTTTTAATACGTAGGTATAGATATTAGACGTTTTAGTTGCACTCGTGACAAGTATAGACGTGTTTAGTTACAAAAATGGGTCGTAAAGCAAAAGAAACGAGTGAAGAGGAGAGAAAAATAATTATTAATTTGCATAATCAATGCAAATCATTATGTGAAATTGCAAAATTTGTCAATAGACCACGTTCAACCGTACAGACTGTAATTGATGGGTTTTCTATTACTAAAACACTAAAAAACAAACCCAGAGGTGGGGCGTCCATCAAAAATCACGCCTCGATTGGATCGGTAAATTTTAAATTGTGTAAAAAAAATCCAAAAATTAGTGCCCCTCGAGTGTTACAAGAAATTAATAATATCAATGATTGCCATATTTTTGTCAGTACCGTTCGGAACGTATTACGTAGTAACGATTATCATGGAAGAACTGCGCGTAAAAAGTATTGGGTAAATGATATTAATAGAAAAAAAAAGATTAGAATTCGCAAAAAAATATATTAATGAAAAAAATCATTTTTGGCAAACTGTTATTTACTCAGATGAATCGAAATATAATATTTTCAAATCGGATGGACATCATATGGTATGGAGAAAACCTAATATGGAATATAAGAAAGAAAATTTATGTCCAACGGTAAAACACGGTGGTGGGTCAGTATTTGTATGGGGTTGCATGAGTGCTTTTGGGGTGGGAAAACTTGCATTTATTGATGGAATTAGGAATCACAAAACGTATATTAATATTTTAAAAGAGAATCTTCTCTCTAGTGCAGCTCAAATGGGTTTTAACAATAATTGGATATTTTTACAAGATAATGACCCTAAACATAAAGCATGGAATACTAAAGCATGGATCCTGTTTAACGCTCCAAAATACCTAGAGATTCCTCCTCAATCACCTGATATTAATATTATAGAGCATGTGTGGGATTATCTCGATAATAAAATTGGAAATCGACCAATTTCAAGTAAAGAAACACTAAAAATTACGCTTCGCGAAGAATGGGCACTGTTACCGTCTTCTTATATTTTCAAACTAGTTGATTCGATGCCGCAGAGACTCCAAGCTATCATCAATGCTAACGGTGGTCCAACAAAGTATTAATATTTTTTTAATATTCATTTACTTACAAATTTTATAAATGTACGAATACTTTTTGTTTGTCATTATTTGCATAGTTAACGTAAAAATATTTTTATGTTGTATAATTTTTTAAAAAAAAAACAAAAATTATCATAAACAAAGTGCGGGAATGTTAAAATATTTAATAGTATTGATTTAAATTAGATAAATAAAAAAAAGTCTATCAAGTTCGTATTTTTTTTATTACAACCCTAGATGTACGAATACTTTCTACACTCACTGTATGTAGGACGCGTATAATTTTGATGGATTTATGGAAACGTCTCTAGCCGGTGTTGTCTAAATTAAAGTCGGCTCTTTTATGTAGAAAAATATATACAATATGTAAATATCTAAAACAATAACTTTTACCAAATATTAATTAATTATACAGTACTTCTTAAAACTTTCTTTTATTTTTTGGAATTTGACACATATGTACAATTCACTCATAGATAGGTTTACTAGTGACCTTTGATAAAAAAATATTACATTAATAAAATATATTTAGGTATATATAATTACTGTCCTATATAACATTAAAAAAAAAACATGCTTGTGTGTTTTTAGTACACAAGAACATACTAATTATATATCTTATTATATAAATATGTATTTTGTTATTAATACGATATGGAATTCATATCAGTATATTTTTATTAAATTACAATACTTAGTGATTTTGTTCAATATATCCAATCACTATTTTTAGAGATGACTCTAAAAGTTCCAAGGTTATTGCATTCACCAGGGCCTGATGACATAAGTACATAATTTGTTTAAAAAGGAAATGCATATCGATTTGGCTGTCTCCATCTCTTATTTACTGAGTGAAACGTTTATCTCACATGGTTATTGTTATTCCCCTTCATAGGGAGGAAATCAATTAAGGTATAAAAGATAATTTGAACAATATCAGTTGATAAAAATTATTTTGATACAAATATTCTTTAGGCATTTCAATTTAAGTATCTGCCCCTGTTCGACCTCTTGCAAATTGGATAGGTAATACATTCAATAGAGATGGTTCCAGGAAACTTATCACTATTTTAGTGTAGGAACATAAAATTATACGCGCGTACTATGCATTAATATAAGAATACAATAATGGTTTGTTTAACAACAGAACGGGTGTTCTGGAAATAAATAACATATTTAGTTCTCAGTAAACTTGTGAATCAATGGTTGTTCGGCATTATCTTGGTCAATCGACTTGTTCTTCTGTAACACTTATCCTTTATCTATACTGTGTATGACTAAAATCCTATTATTTACTTTTGCTTCACATACAATGCGCTGTCTCTAAAATAGTACTCTTAGTTGCGGTTGAAATTAACATTTAAACTAATAATATTCCTGCAATTTGCCGTCTCAGATTTATTCTTTGTTAAAATATAACAAATTCATATTTATTTTGCGAGAGAATGTCTTATTTTTAGTACTGTATGCATAAAAAATACGAATTATTATTTATGTATTACTCGACTAATTATTACTTCGTATTACTTACTTTATTTAACTCGAAAGTATAGACATGGTATCTGAGGTTTATGTTTTAGAGCTATGTAATAACTGTTTGCAAATTAGACTAATTGCTTTAGAAAGCTTTAGAGTAATAATTAAAATGACGGGGGAACTTAGTCGTGAAAATTTGCTAGTATGAAGAACAACCACGATTGGGGTGGATAAATCTAAAGTAAATCTAATAACAATAACTCAAGGTTTAGTCTGATTAGTATTCGATGCCCATGCTTTCCAAATAATAATGAGTTGCCGCAAGGTTATAAGTGTCAACTCTTAATTGTTTTCGTTACTATTTTGTCGATGCTGACGGTATCGCATCGTCAATGCGTGCAGTACAAGTAATGTTAGTAAACAGTCCGCCTACACTGCCCAAGTATTCGATGCTTTGCTATTGACATTTCACATGAAGGTTGCGCGCAGAGTCGTGATTTTGCGTAACTTAGATCAACATGCCGTGCCTTAGTATCTTTTTATAACCAGTTGCCTCATAGACGCCTTCGTTCAAGTTCTTGTGCACATTTCCTTAAGTTTTATAAGTGTTATATTTAAAATGGGTGTAGAATGTGAGTTTTATTCAAAAAATATTTAAACGTGTGGGGAACATAACAGAGGACTGTCGATTTTGGTGACAAAAAATAATTGTATTGTATTTAATAGTGATGCAATTTGTTATAAGTACCATTATGTAATTTATAATGTAAAATAAAATTCGCACGCGAACTAAATCAGTAGGTCGCGATATTAAAAAATGCATAAGGTGTCACAGTTTAGTAGCTTACTATCTCGATTCATTACAAAATTTTTAATTTTTACTAATTTCATTCGATTAACAATAGTAGGCTCGGTACCCAGCTATATTAAATCCTACTCTATGAAATGTGGGCAAGTCGAATGTTACGATCACCATAAAACTTATAAGAGAAACATGGTATATACTTCAGCAACTATTTGTCAAATAAAATATGAAGTAAACTCGTAATAATAATTTATATACATATGTACTCATAATTCACTCCTGTATCTTATTGGGGTTGACAGAAACTGTAGAAAGTCAAGCGCTTCAATACAAAAGTAAGGTTTAATTAAAATATATGTACTTACCTTTTGTAAGTACTTATTATATTGTTTCGTATCGCATTTGCGTTTGCGTTTTACATACTTTATTATAATTTGTATGATGTCATTTGTCTATAACGTGACAAGTGATCAGCTAAAAGTATGTTTACAATTTGTTTAATAGCAAATATTAAGTATATTAAAAAAAAAAACTGTTTATAAAAGAAATATTCAATGTTTATGTTTATTATTAAGGGTTACTTATTATGAGTTTATGAGTATATTATGCGTGTTAAATGAGTATAATGATTCTTAATATGTAAATTTCGAAACATGCATTTCATTGTGACCTTGTTGATATTCATCATAACATTTTTAATACAGTATTGCTACTATGTGACCGTCTACATACATTCGGGACTTATCGAACTTATATAATTAATTATATGATTGTTAATAGTAGGCTCTAGCGGCTTCATGAAAACCATCGTAGTTTATTACTGACGAATTCGATACGATGGACCAATTGACTTGCTCTCATTCTGACCTATCATCCCTCACTGCCATAATACGCCAGCGTTAACCATCAGTGCCAGCAAGATTACTATTCCGTTATCATCTATTAAATAAAAACCTGTTCGATATGTCGTGATTTCGTGGTTTGTCATTATTTTGGAGGCGTTTAGAAACGGCGATCTTCGTGATCGACTAATCTTAAAATGTTTGCTAATAATTTGGCCATAAAAATAGAAAGTGGAATATTTATGACGCGTATTGTGTCTATTATAATAGAAATATATGTTTTTTAAACTCAATATTATCATTATTATCATATCAGCCGTTAGCTGTACATTGCTGAATATAGGTTTCCCCCATAAGGGGGGGTTTTGCTGGTACTTGTCACACTTGGCAGGCGGGTTGGCAACCGCAGTTAGGTTTTGCTGATGTTTTAAGACAGACGCTGGTATCAATACCTCGACCATTCAATTCCCTTGATCGTCTCTTACGACATTTACGAGAATGGAAAGGGTGATCTATTCTATTCCGGAGCTACATGGCTAAACTCAACAAATTGAGGCACAGTTTATTTTTCTAATGGATGCGAATGGAATGGTAATCTCGCCTGCGCTATCGGTATAAGCTGGCAGGGTCCCAGCGAATTATGATAAATGAAGTTGAGGATGAAAGGTCAGTTAGTCCCACGTGATGAATTTAACAATAATTCACCACGATGGTTTTCAGGGGAAACCGTGTGACTGACGACCTGATAGGGTATATTGATGGGGACTGTTAGACCCCATTACTAACAATCCCTTTCCCCCGGTACAGTATATTAGGCGATGGCCGTGTGTTGTTAATTTCTATAGATGGCAAATACGAATACATGTGTCGTTTAGGACGTAGGTTGTATGACAGTTTATTTATAATTTTCAGTACATAGTATATATAAAGAAATATTGATTTGGCATTTATAATATTTTTTTTGATGGGTGAAAATAGTATCGTAGCCCCCCCCCCCCCTGCGCTAATGGGATACGTTGGCGGAGTACCAGTGAAGGGTGATAGATGAGAATGAAAACAGGCCAGTTAGCCCATCATGATGAATTCATCAGAAATTAACCATGATAGTTTCCAGGGGGAACCGCGAGGAGGTCGACCTGGTTGGGTATATTGCTAGCAATGGGATTCTCAGTCTCCATTACTAACAATCCCTTTCCCCCCTAATATTATATTTACATGGCATTTTATTTATGTACTGTGTTCACATTGAACTTTAAACTTTCTGTAGACTGGAATTGGTATTAACAGAATTCCGTAAATGCTTTTGACTAATTTAGTATTAAACGAGACACATTTATCCAGTATACATACGAATATAATAAGAGTCCTACATTAGTCTACTGTTGGAAAAACTGAAGTTGATAATATATTGATTTTATTAAAGAGTAGGTCAATAAAGGTAGGTAATTATAGGTCTTATTTGGGCTAAGAACAGCGACAATTCGATTGTACGTGTATAAATTTAGATTTATTTTATACTAGGCTTTACTTGTGACTTCGTCTGCATGGCCGAAATTTATTTTAATTCACTATTTGAGTTCATGATGAAACTTTATTATACAAAATATTTTAAATTTATACTAATATATTAAAACAGAGTTTGTTTGAACGCGCTATTTCTGGGAATACTAGTTGGATTTAAATTATTCTTTTTACTGGTTATTCGATTAGAATAATTTTGCTTGATTCCGTTACCATTAGTTTGTCTGCGACTACCAACAAATAACTAAATAATCAGTGATATGGACTTCCCTATGATAACATTTAGTTCAGTTATTAAAAAAAAAAATTATATACCATGTGCAAAGGCGCGGGATGCAGTTAATAATAATTGACAAATTAATTATTAATCAATGATAACGCATGGGCGACACAGTATACTTTGTTATTGTCTATGGTATTGTTCATGTCTACAGGTTACGGTTATCACTTTCCATCAGGTAAGCCATTAGTTTGTTTGTCATTCTAAGTTGCATAAAAAAATATTTGACCAAAATAAAAAGTTGCCTAATGTCATGACGAAGGGTTGAGCCTTTAAGGTACTAGAAGGTAACAAACAAATAAACTTTTACATCTATAATATTAGTTGATATTTTTATTTCGCTGTGTTTTTTTAAACTATGTCTTTTCAGTTAGTGCCATTCAACAGTTATTTCTTCTAAATCCATTGTTCTTATGTTTCAGTAGCGTTAGAACCTGAAGACAAAAAGCCGGATAGGCCGCCTTCAAAGACACCCACTATATATCCCATTCTCAACAAGTACTCAGAAAAAACCGCATCCGTCAAAGAACTAACTACGTCTAGGATAAGGTACGTATTAATATTGTTTATCGGAGGGAGGCTTTGTACAAAAGTCATTTACTTGGGCACCTCTGCCCCATTCGAGTTTCTACCGTAAAGCAGTTGTGTTTGCGTGGTTGTTTTTCGGTTTGAATGGTGGGATATGGCAGTGAATTTACAAGGTACAGAAGAATAACACCTGAGTCCCCAGGAATGGCAACGCATGGAGGGTATCACGAGCGAAACGGTATTCTCTCTGTTATGCCCATGGTATTGCTCATGTTTATAGGTGATGGTTACCACTGTGGCCGTCAGCTTGTTTGCCATTCTAAATTGCATAAAAAAAAATGTATAAGATTAATGTATATTCGATTTGTGACAGTTTATTAGTACTACGCTTCATACAATTCAGCGATCTTAATATAGAATCCCTCATCATTTTAATTTGTAATTATTGTCACTTGTTTCGTGAGAAGTCACGCGCTTTCATGTATTACGAAGGCGATCCAGGAATCCTTGGTACTAGAGACTCAGATACTTCAGTAGTGGACGTGAACGAATAAATTTGTCCTCTATGGACAAAAGTACCTCGTTTGTACTAAATATAAAATTAAATTACCATTAAATAATAAAATTATTTAGTGGTCATTGAATTGTTATAAGGCTTTTAATATGCTTGCGTGGGCGTAAGTCCACAGAAATAAAGTCGTCTGGAAAATCTACTTATTAATATTTTTATACATGTATAATAGAGTTGTAACTTTATCATATTCCAGTTTGCACAAGGACAACATAACTAATAAAGAAAGTAGTACGCAGAGTACAATTACACACACAAACAAGAATGAGTCAGAAAAAGTGATTCACAGTGAGACTACCACAGATGGACCGCTAGATGGACAAGTATGTAACTATTTATAGTAATTATATTAACATCTAAACACTAGACATCCTCTGTTTCCAAGGAAATTTCAAGTACTTTCTTATCTGGATGTATATACCTAAATACCCCTTAAGTATCAACTTATCAAATTTAATTTTCTTAAGAAAAGTAGACAACTTTTGGTATTTCGTGATTGAACAGTGCATAAATGTAAATCGCTTTTACTTTAATTTTGATACATTAAAATGTATTTTTTTTTATTTAGAAAAATGTAGAGTTTTTATAAGATATAAAATTTAATTTTAACTAGAAAACTAAATTGATTTTTTCGAACTCATTTGAAAACGAAGTTTGCAAATTATGATTTTTAATTTGCAGTATGTGTTTTGTACGGTTATTACAACTTTTTATTTGATAGCTCTTAATTTTGTTTTCAAGTAGTATAAAAATATGTGTTTAATTAAGTTTGACATAAAAAGGCTTCATCACTTTATTTTTGTATTGAGAATTAAAGACAAGATGCGCAAATTGTAATATGGTCTCATTATAAAATATTTTGTATGGAGCTGTTAATGATTTTGTATAATTTTAATTACAGATTAAAAAACCCCCCGTGCCGACGAAGAAAAGCCCCACGATGTCATCCGGTGTCGGCGGTTTGCTCAGCGGGCTTAAAAGCAAAATGTTGTCGTCGACTGATAAGTAAGTATATAATTAAAAATTTCAAAATTACCGTATACAATAATATCAAATTCCAATGTGTATAAATTATTAAACGAAAATATTAACAAATTATTGTGCACGAAATAGAATGAATGTTATGTCATTTATTTTGTATTGTGTAATATGTTCTAGATAAATAATTATAATAATATTTCAATTTAATAATCTATCGAATTAGATCTATCTATAACGCTTTTCCTAGTGACTTGAAGATTAGCATGCTATTTACATTAAATATTAGCTTTTTACATTAAATATGATTTTGATACTCTTCTATCCTACGTGTCAAATTCATAACACTCTTTAAGACCGATTTTAATTCAGTTAATAACTGGTGATAGTGCCACATAAATATCTATACAAGTATTTAACGTCATTATTACTCACCTGTATTAATTTTTTTTTAAACTTGAGGTCTAGTAAAGAAAACAATACATTTGTCTAGTAATTAGTAGTTATTGTTGGCTGTCTTCTCCAAACATGAAAAGAGGTGAGTATTCCGCGGATTCACTGACGTAAATCAGTATATAAAGTATCCTATCTGTAAAAAAAAAAAAAACAATCTATAAGTCTAAATATAAGTATCCATATTTCACTGAAATCGGTTCAATAATTAAAAAAAAAAAAACTAACAAATAACTTTACAAACTCGCATTTAGAATAGTACATAGTGGGCTTTATAAAGATAATTAATTGGAAGTAATATTATACCTTTATGGCAGTCTATTAGGAGAGGCTTATCTCCAGCAGTGGACGGATAATGGCTGAAATGATGATGATGAATATTATACCATCTCTTACATTGAATAGATTTGAATGTTTTTCAGTAGCCTTTTCCAGTAGTTACCACGCTTTGCAGGCCGATTGGAAACCGCAGTTAGGCTTTGGAGATGTTTTAAGAAGGACGCGGATGTCCGTCCCTCGTTCTCCCTTAGTCGACTCTTACGATACTTACGAGAAAGGAAGGGGTGGCTTATTCTATGCCGAGACCGACCGAAACTTATTCTATGGCGATGTGAGATCTGAATTTTTAGATGGACCATATTGTGTTAATCTAGAAATTAACACAAGAAATATTATAATTCACAGGTTATTATTATTAATAATAATGTTAAAATTAACAGAGAGAAGTCATCGTCGACGACGGTGAGCAGTGGTAGCAGCAGCGGCGGCGAGTGGGACCGGCCCGACGGTGGCGGCTCTAGCAAGCCAGTTGCAAACAATACCAACACATTCGACCACGTCGAGCGGAACTCCATACTCAACGATCCACGTGCTAGCAGGTATGCTAGGGCCATCTTAGTTTATCTGACACTTTTTTTTATACAACTTAGAATAGTAAATAAGCTGACAGCCCACCTGATGGAAAGTGGTAACCGTCGTCTATAAACATGAGCAGTACCATGGACATAGCAGAGAATACTGTTTCGCCCATGATACTCCCCATGCATTGCCATTCCTGAGGACCCAGGTGTTATTCCTCTGTACCCAGTAAATTCACGCTATATCCTACCCTTCAAACCGAAACACAGCCATGCAAACACAACTGCTTCACGGTTGAAACACGAATGGGACAGAGGTACCTAGCAATCGACTTTTGTACAAAGTCTCCCTCTGGTACACTGCTGTAAAAATTATAGATGATATTTCTCGATAATTAAAAATTGGTTATTAGGTAACTGCGGGTGTCGAGTGAGCCGACTATACATTTTTAACGCATCAACTGTGTAAATTTGATTTTGTAATTTCCTTATTTTCTGTTTAATCATAATTAGTCGGTAAAGATCTCTTTATTAAGTGATTCCAAAAAGGATAAGGATCTTAATTCTTCTTTTTTTTATATTATACAATATATTGCTAAATCGAAACTTTTGAACAATTTTGTATTATGCTATGCTACGCAAATAAAAACGGAAATACTACTAAATATAGTAGAATTTCCGTTTTTATTTGCGTAGTATATTCTTAAATATTATCATTGGAGACATTTTTTTGCAAAAACAATAAAGATAAAAAGAATTACAGATTTGTTGTGTATCGACTACAGAATAAAAAAAGAACACCTTTGTTTACATCTAGTTGTCTGTTATATTTTTTAGTAAATAAAAATATATTTCCGCGCGAAATAAAAATAACATTATTTTTCAGAGTGAAAGCTCCACGTCGCAGGCCGCCCAGTCAGGGATTCCGTGATGAGTCGCCACAGCAAATAGGGCTCAGTAATGGGCATGAAGGTAAATTATTAAAATATATTACATTATGTAATATAACCTTTTACTATATTATATTATTAATATTGTCAAATATAACAAAAATATATAAGGTAGTCTTGTCCAATTTATTTAGGAATAAATAAATATTTTTTGGTCATTAGCGGTTGGTCACTGTCTTATTATCAGATCATCAAGTAAAGGGCCTATTGTGAAAATATTAATAGATAGAATTATATATGGTACATATACATATGAAATACTAGCCTGTGTAATTAATAATATAAATATATTCCATCAGCCTCGCCAGCTGAAAAGCCTCCGCCTGAGAAGACGGAAGAAATAAAACCTCGTACGCGTGAGTGGGAGAAGCACAGGGCGCCGTGGATGGAGGAGTTGAAGCTGAATCAGGCCAAGAAGACCAGCCTCGGGTCCGACGGCAAGCCGCGCGCCGCGCTCGGCAGCACTGACAGGTACAATACTAAGACAATAGAACAATTTTATTAACTTATAAATAAATATTATAAGATAAATCTAACAGATAATATACAATATAAAAATAAATAAATAAAATAATAATATCTATCAAAGAAACAAACATTGTCAAATCAAGTTGTTAATTTTAGAAAACCTGTTAATTTTACAGATTGAATTGAACTGTCCTGCAGTTTTATATTAAAACAGTAGACAAAACAGGCCTGTTTGTAATCACGTCACTCATCCTTGTTAAATTTTTAAAAACTAAACTACATTAGGTATTAGTTTGCACAGTATGTAATGTTTATAAATTTAATGAACACGTTTTTATGTACAATTACAGAATTTTGGACGTTGGTCTTGATGAAAAAAGAACATCAAGTCATTCTATGGAAATGTCGAAGAGCACATCATCCATTAGCAGCCGAATGTCCGTCTTAGAGAGTTTTGAAGAGGTTAGTAATTGAATAAAAATCTTATTTCTATGTTGTGAAGAATTTAAAATATATCTGTTGCTTAATAAACACTTGTTTTTTTCCTTGGGATGTCAAAAGAGACGACTGAGAGACAATACAACTTTGCAATAGGAGGAAAATTTAAAATTATATCCTTTCCTAGCTTACTGTGTGGTAATAGTAAACTATAATGATATTGCCTCTTCGTGGAGAGTTAATTGGTTATGATAATACTGATTTGAAAAATATCTGGTAGATATATATAACTATAGTAAGTAGTAAGGTAATCAAATTAGTGTATTATTGTTTCAGACAAAAGTGCGTAATTCATTAGACTCCAAGAAAGACGTCACTCCAGTAGCTCGTGAACGCGAAGAGCCCGCCAGCAAGCCTACAGTACAATCGCCAACCGCCGCAGGTGCGTATATAATTTACCTAAAAATAAAGATTACAGTGGCTTTTAAGATCGCCACTACGGTTAATCAAGAAAGTTGGTAACTTATTGACTATTTTGATTGAACAAAGTCAAATTGTATATATATGTAAGTACACAAATCGACCATATTTGCAAAATATTAGTAATATTAAGTTGTTTGTAATTTTAATTTATGAAATACCATGCACTGGTTACTAATTAACCAGTGCATTAGTATTAATTCAAATAGAATTTTGGATATAAGTTATAATTTCACTTTGACTCATTTACTTAATTCCTAATCTATATTAATGAAATAAATCTGAGTTCATGCCTTTACTTTCACATAGCATTGTAATATTAATTATAATTATGTCAAATAAATAATAATTTTCATATGAAGTTCCGATTGCAGATAACAAGAGAGAGAAAAAAAAATATGAAGTTCAATGTTAAAAAAAATATTTTTGTATTTTAAATCAAATATTTCCATTTTTTCTCCAGGTCGGACATTAGCAAGTATGCTGGATGAGATTAAAAAGCCCCCAGCGCCCCACCCACCTTCAGCCACAGCGCGAACAACCGAACCGACCCCACCCGCAGACAAGCCAAACGCCAAATTAGAAAAGACTGCCAGTAGCATTGAAAAGCATAGTGAACTCAACACAATCACTAAAACAGGAATGTTCGAGAAAATATCAAATACAACCGAAATCATAGAGAAACTTGAAGACAAAGTGTCGGAGAAGCCGTCGAGTTTGTTTAGCGGCGACAGGAGCGTGTCGACAACTCTAGAGAGGCTCAAACCGGTGAAAACAGACAAACCTGAGGGTACAGATGCGTTGGTCGCGCAGCTCAACACCAGAGTAAGTAAATAATTTATTAAACTATTTAATGTAGTTTATCTAAGGTTGGTTTTAGGTATACATTGAGAAATGTACTAATCAACAGACTCCCTCTAGGTGTGTATATTGATTTAGTTAGGGAAAATCGATAAATGAATAGGAATATTTAAGGATAGAGATTTAGTTTTCCAACATCTCTCCCTCTTTTCTGCTCCAAAGCTTGAAATGAAGAAAGATAATTTAAGATTGCTTGTGAAAATATTTTAATAATATAGTGGAGACGAAATTTTAAATTAGTATTTATACACACTTTTCAGATATCAAAGTTGGAGAAGATTATTGAAGATCAGAATACAACATTCAAAGCTGCTATCGACGAACTCAATAGTAAGTTGAAGATAGAAACCGAGAAGCGGCAGGCCTTGCAGGCTGAGATTGAAAAGCTAGCGCAGTGTGTTACACAAGTTTAGCCTTTATTCCATGTGCCACTCAAGTCAATTCGCCGTGGCCGTACAACGTGGAGAGAATTTTCGAGTTACGTTCATTACTAGTTAGCGAAAATGTATAACTATTAGAACCCCTCGGGAAATTTTCGAGTTTCTTGACCGTTTTATCGAGATATATTTATACATTGCTTGTGTAATGAAAGCTTTATCGGATATATTTTATTTTGTAATACAATTTTTATAAACTTTTGTGATGCATCATTAATGTTAGCATATAATTTATGCTGTATATATTTATCGTTTCGTTACGGAGACGATCCGAGAGTGGATCGCTCGAATCTATTGTACTTACGCGATCGTCATGTTTTTAAATTGACGTAAATTGTACCTTCGAGGGAAATTTTTTTCTAATTGCATTTTTTAGCTCTATATTTAATCGAGCGCCATACTAGTGTAAAATATAATGTCATTTGGGAAAAGATGATGATACATTGTTATAAAACAATGTAATTAGAATGTGTGCTGTAATTGCGTGAGATTCGTTCGTCACAACGTAAATGAAATGCGTACATGAGATTATATTAATATAAGGTAGGAAAAAAATAATTAAGCGTATTAACAAGATATAGGGCATCAGCAATAGTTCAAAATGCAGCTATATAACCCCAAAAAATCAGTGCGTAATGGCAACTTAATAAAGTTAAATAGTTTGCATTAAAAAGATAAAACTAAATTGAACTTCGAATAATGTAAATTGTAACTCGACAAGCTCTTTTTTATTATTTAAATGTGATCGCTATACGGAATTTAACTTTTATATAATATTAACAATGTAATACCTTGTCTTTTTTTTTTTGTATAAATGTTTAAAGTACTAGTATTCAATGTTCTTTAAAGTTGTTTATATATATATCGATAAAACTATTAAAGGTTGTGGTACAAAAACATGACAACGGTATATTGTCATTGTATATTTTGTTCTCTTTATGTAATACTGATGAATGCAAGAGCGCAGTAAATTTTATGTGTCTCAAATCTAAAATAATGCCTAATTGGTTAAGTTTTGTAGGTTAGACTTGCGTCGTTTAATCATTGTGTACGATAACAAAATTTGTGCCATTTTAATTTCATTGCACATTATTTGTATATTGAATACAAATTGTACTTTATGTAAAGAATATAAGGTCTAAATTAGATTACATTGAATATTGTGATTAACACATTCCATATACACAAGATTGTAGCAATGTATGCCAATATTAATATATGTAAAATCATTTTATTGGAAGTGAACTAATATATAACCAAAGCTTCATTTAGCGGGGTGTATGGTAACTATAGTACCTCCTTTGTATATTTATTGAGCAAAGGCCATATTTTACCTACAATTAATATATTTTTATATTTGTACAGACATTATTTAAATTGTTATTTAGATGACACTGTACCTTTTTTAATACATATCTCTTGTATTTATTTTTATTGAATCAAAGTACCACCTTTGTAATATAAGATATATCCAAAATATAACTAATGTATGAATTCACAAAATATTTTATAACCAGAAATCAGGTTGTGTTTTGCCATCCAATGTGTTTTGCAGCTGTGTATTATTGTTTTATTGGGGAACTGATTAATATAATGGTGATATAAAAATAATTTTATTCTACACAACTCGTAGATTTAGGTTACGATGTGATAGACGTTGCCTAACTTATACATTTTGAATTTTATTATGCACAAATAAGGTCACACAATGTTATTGTAACATGCCACTTAAATTGTAAGTTAAAAATATGAAGTACCTAATCGGTTTTGATAATATAAACGATTGGCACTAACTTAGATTGTATGTGGATTGTCCGACATTTGTAACGTAGAATCACAAGTATTTTCATGAAATTTCAACCTTTGTAATAAGTATTAATTTAATATTATAAATGACATAATTTTTTTTATATTCCAGTAAATCGCATAATTTCATTTTATAAATAATATTTATAGTACCAATATTATTTGGCGGCCTATCCCGTAGTGACTAATTATAAGAAAACATATAATTAAAATGAGCCTCTTTCTTTGTCTGGTCCTTGAGGTTGTGGTCTAACAGGCTTGGTCCTGGTAGATTAAATATTATATTTGGTTATTTGTTTCCTTATTTTCATTGCGGATAGGGCTTTAGATATTATACTCATGTTAGATTTAAAGGTAACATTTCATTATGCGTACAAATGGATAGGAAATAGTGTGAGAATTGAATATTCATACCATTGTGCTTCAATCATCAGGTGTTCCTACTAAAACTCTCGTTTCTATTTATATTAATTGTAACTGTGACATTTGCTATGTTAAATTGTGCAACGAATGAAATTTGATAATACATAAAATGTTTATTAAAGTAAACGCCACAAGCAAAAGGAATTTTACGGTTACATTATTTCTACCCAACTGTATAACACTTCATGTTGTTAAAGTTTGTAGACTTTAAGAATATTTTTCTTGTTTGCACATTAAAAAAAATTAAAATAAAATTAAAAAAGCCCACTTCGACTGAGAAGTTAACCAACAAATGTATCTCTGCTGGGTAGCGTTTGGAAAACTACGCCACATCTCATTTGAAAGTACCTCCGTACCTCATAGTTTGACCAAGGTATACCAAGGTAAACCAGTGTATGTTGCCGGTGATGATTTATGGGACCGAAACATTGTCCTGTTGGTTATATGGTAAAAGCTTCAAGTTAGTGAACAAGCTATGAATAGGGCTATACTCGGAGTTTCTTTGCAGGACAGAATTCGCAATGAGGTTATACACAAAAATCAAAGTGACCAACATAGTCCGAAGCAAACTGAAGTGACGATAGGCCGGTAACATAGCTCAAGGACCGATAACCGATGGGGAAGAAAGGTTCTTGAGGGGCAAACGTAGTGTAGCATGAGCCGTCACTAGATAGAGTGATGACTTCAAATGCATTGCAGAGAGTTTGTGGAATGCAAGTGGCTCAAGATCATTTCTTTTGGTAGTCTATGGGTAGGTCTATGTTCAACAGTGGACAGATAACGGCAGATATATGATGATGATGATGATGATGATGATGACATTAAAAAAAATTGTTTTTTTTTCATGTATCGTAATGATAACTTGTCTACTGGTAGATTTATTTGCCTGGTGCCTGTAATAAGTTAATGATGTAATGAATAATAATGTATAATGTCTGGTGAATTTACTCACCTCTTCCTATACGACGAAACCAAATTTCATGTCTATATACTAATATTATGCCATTTTGTTCATGTTTAAACGCGGCAGTTACCACTTTCTATCAGATGGGCCATCAGCTTGTTTGCCACACTTTGTTTAATAAAGTTGGCTTCAAGTGGAACTTCTACTGACATTATTTAAAATAGCGATTGAATTGCGATTTGCTTGTTTAGTATAAAATTCCTTATGCTAGTGGCGCGTTCTTTATTTTGCATGCTAGTTCACGCGACAATTATAAAGGGCATAATACATGTTCAATTCTTTAGTAGATAGGTATAAATTTAAGCAATCTTTGAGATTCATACTCGTAGATCTAATAAATTGTTTTCGCCATATAAAATATACCGTTCTAATTATGATATACTTAATTCGTGAACAATATAAACCTTTAGTAATTGGTATGTGGTGTCATTTTAAATGAATGATTTAGCTTAAACATACAAAATAATATGCTAAATCTAGTTTTGTTTCAGTTTTTTTTTTATTAATAAGATGGTTTTTTTTTGTACTGAATAACTATGTTGGTAATTAAAACTACTTGCTCTTTTTAATATAAGTTTTTAACTGACGAATATTTGTTCAGTTGGCTATAAAAGATAATATCATAATAATATGGAAACAATACTACAATTGATAAACTTTTGGGATCAGTTCTTATTTATATCATAATTGCTGACGGGATTAAAAATCTGACTTATACTTTGTTGTTGAATTTGCATTTTTAATTTATAAACTTTAATATTACGCAATCATATCCTATGTTTAATAAGTTTAATTTAAAAAAAAAAAAGGTTGCTAATACAATTAATTAATAGTGCTAACACTATTGTAACAACGAGCAGATAATTTATGAAAAACATGTATTGGTTATTCTCCCAATAAATATATTTAAGTTCATTCTGATTTACTTAAACATATATAAATATGAAACATAAACAACTCAATAAATCAACTGTGAAAAATATTCGTAACTCCCTTTACTTATTTCTTTATGACAAAAATTTCCATCAAATTAGTAGGATTATAAGTATCACAATTTTTTCATGAATTAATTGACATTTTACATAATTAAGATATTTCATTTGTTCAACTTGTGTTAGTATGTGAATTTATCATGACATTTTGCTAAAAGAAATGAGTTTTTGCTAAAAATTGAAATATTGCGATCTATTGTTAATTTATATGATTTTTCTTTATAATTACTATATTATCCTTATCACATGAACCGATTGAAGAGAATATTAACCGTTTTGCTTTTATTTCGAGTATTTCTTTTGCATTGTTATCGTGTACTTTCTTTACCTAACTACTTTTCGAATTGTTGATGGGCAGTTAGATAACTCAGAACATTAACATATAGATGTGAATGTAATGAGTTACGTTTTCACCAACGGAAAATTCAAGACATTATTTTTTAAAAAGTATAAGAAATATTGAATATTTTTTTTGGAATAAAGTTATACAAGGATTGTGATGAAAAATTATAAGATGTGACATGAGATCGCGATATTTCAACGGCCTCTTAAAATTTAACAAGCCAATATTTGCATTTATTGCAAGTTCTTATTGTATGTACATATAGATATAAATAATTATAAACTTAGTATAAAAATGTACATACAGAACTTGTTGGAAAGTACATGAAGTAAAAGGTTTATATAATAAACCATAGATAAAACTGTATGATATAGAATTATTAATCGAGCTATTTGTTTTTAATAGTACTTAATTTATTTTATATGTGCTGTAATGTACCTACCCATTTCATGCATTCCTATGGTTTAACAGTTTAGAATAATCAACATAAAGAATAATAAATTAAAATTATTATATAATTAATTTTGTTTGATTCGTTTTATGCCTGTTAAGTATTTTAAATATAAAAAGATAGAGAAATAGGCACTTTCATTGATGAAAAACCAAGGGTATATGCTCTCAAATATTGGATGAAAGTTAAATGAATATAGACTGGTCGCGTGGCGCTTATTAATAGGGTAGTGTGGAAGACCTCTGATAAATGAGGTGGATGGGTGATAAGTGAAATAAAATTCAAATCCATTCGAAGTTTCATAAGAAATAAAGTATCTTATTTCAATAAAATATTGTAAATAAATTTAAGATTAATTGATATATTTTAATGTTACGTGTTTGTTTTAAGACTGTTTTTACAAGAAGTTGGAGACTTAGTTAGACCCGTATTGCTACAATTTAACTTGTCAGATCGACACCCATTCTGAAGATCATCGATTTTATTGTCACCTACCTTCACTATCCTGCCTGCCTACCAGGCGTGATTACTATTCCATTTTTATCCAATAAAAAATATACCTACGAATGTTATAAACATCATAACAAAAAATAGTTGGTTCTGAAGCCATTGTCTTTCTTTATTCTTTCCTTTATAGTATTTCTGTGAACTTGCACAGAAAGACGACACGATAGATCTGTCGTGATCACAACGTGAATTCATCGCGCTAAGTTCCGATAGTGTATTTAAATAGAGAAAGTGACTTCAGGCTCAACCCCATATCGTGATCTGATTTCAAAATATTTTGATAAGCATAACTTGGCTAGTCACTAAAGTACTCTGTCTTGATTTATGTGAGAACGTGTTTGGAGTTTTTTGTTTATTATTTTTGTTGCTACGTAAAGTTATTTATCAAGTTCCAGGAGTCAACAACCTTATCACGAGTTAAACGGTAAAAGTCCATCATAATGTCTTAGATTTGGATCGCATGCAGGTAGTGCTAAGGTCTTGAGATATCATGCCACAAACCTGAAGTTGCGATAATGTAAAAATAGTGTATGGATTTTTGAAAATAAATGAGAATGAAAATCTAGTACTAGTTTTTCATGAATGCCGAAGTTTTAATATTACGTAGTCTTTAAATCTCTGGTTTTGTTTTAAGATATAACCAGCCTGTTTGTGTAACAAGTTTCATTTAAATCCGTTTAGCCATTTAAACGTGATTGAATATACGTATTCGTAAATATATAAACATCTGTATATTTATAGTGTTAGTCGGATATTGTAATGCGATATTTCTTAGGGATAATAAAAATGGAATATTAAGTCATTCTGTGCATCCTTACAGTACATTGGCGGAGTATTAAAGAGAATTTTTAAGTGAGAATGAAATTAGGTTAGCTCATTACGACGAAATCCCTGCATGGATTTCGATCTAAGAAAGTAGTAATTTTTTATTCTTTATTAATTTCAGGAGACTTGTTAGTAATGGGATCACCAGACTCCATTAGATGGTTTGAGATGGGATTATTAGTAGCTAGTCGAGCTTTCTCGACTGAAATATTGTTGTAAAAACTCTATAGTCGTTTTTATTAATGTTCTATAATCAAAATATTAAATACAAAAATATAACAATATAATAATTTATGACAGTTTGCTATTCTCTTCTAAACTTCACATAATACATACATTTTTATTATTCATCCAACTGAGCTTATTATTTTCAACATTGTCATTGGAGCGACAGCTGTACAGGTACTCCCTATCAGATTTTACCGATATTGAGTCGTACATTAATGCAGTCATGACAACTGCCCAGAATTTGGCAGATATTGGCAAAACAATCGAAGATAGCTCTCTTGCTGCGATTTTATTAGGCGGACTAACATCTCGTTATGATCCTCTAGTAATGGCTCTAGAACATTCAAATCTCGAAGTAACATTAGAAATGGTTAAGTGGAAGTTATTGAGTGAAATGTCAAAGGTGGCTCAGAATGATGATGTTGCAGCATTTCGTACTTCACAATTAAAAGCGAAGACGAAGAAACCGATTATTTGTTTTAAATGTAGAAAACCTGGACATAAGAGCCCTGATTGCCCTATTAAAAAGGTAAAAAAGGCAAATATGTCAAAAATGGAACAAAACATAGAAGATACAACAGATTGCTTGTCAGAAGTGGCTATGTCATCCCTAAATAACCAGAACTCCGATAAATGGATAATCGACTCTGGAGCATCGGGACATTCGACTTCACACGGTGAATGGCTCAAAAATTATCGTTCTATCGATAGTGGAAGCATAACTGTAGCAAACGGACAAAAATTGCCAGCTGTGGGTATTGGTGAGGTATCAATAAATACTAACTCTGTAGTATCAAAAATAAGTAATGTTATTTATGTTCCTAGTTTAAAATGTAATTTACTTTCGGTAAAGAAAGTTGTCGAAAAAGATTTTTCTGTTGTTTTTGATAAAAATGGTTGTAACTTTTATAAATCTTGTGATGTATCTTTTGCTAATAACCCTATTTTGCACGGTTCTTTTAGTGGTGGAATGTATAATTTAGATTGTTCGATTAACTTGCCACAAAATGTTTCAGCCTATAATGTGCACTCTGAACTCTCAAACTTTAAAATTTGGCATAAGAGATTAGGACATCTCTGTCGCATAGGTATGGATCTACTTAGAAAAGGTCTAGCAGTTGGAGTGGAGTACAAGGAGGTTGACAAGGAACCATGCATACCCTGCGTGGAGGGTAAGCAAGCAAGAAAACCTTTTAAACGGTTGAAAAGTAAGAAAGCTACGTCAGTACTAGAATTAATTCACACAGATTTATATGGACCATTTCAAACAACCTCTTTTCAAGGTAATAAATACTTTATTACTTTTATAGACGATTTTACCAGGTTTATATTTATTTATTTTATATCTTCTAAGACAGAAGTCAAATCAAAGTTTTCTATTTTTCAATCTCTTGTTGAACGTGAAACTGGCTCAAAAATAAAAATAGTGCGATCTGATAATGGATCTGAGTACGTCAACAATGAATTTGCTGATTATTTGGCTTCAAATGGTATCAAGCACCAAATTACGATGCCCTATAGCCCTCAGCAAAATGGAGTGAGTGAACGATGCAATCGTAGCATTATGGAGAAAGCCCGTTGCATTTTGCCTCATGGTTCACTTGCGAAAGCTTATTGGCAAGATGCTGTAGCGACTAGTGTTTATTTGAAAAATAGGTCGCCACATCGTGCTCTTAATAAGAAAACTCCTTTTGAGATATGGTACGGATCTAAACCTAACTTATCTCATCTTAAAGTCTTCGGATGCAGAGCTTTAGTTCATGTTCCTTCTTGCCAAAGAACTAAGCTAGATATGAAAGCAACTGAACATATTTTTATAGGATATTCAGATGATCCTAGAAGTTACTACTTCCGAAGTGCGAAAACACCTAGAAAGTTAGTAAAATCGAGAGATGTAACTTTTTTTGAAGATAAGTTTACAGGACTAACAATTGAAAAGGCAGACGACGTAAACTGTGATACAAGTTACTTATTTTCAAAGACCTCATCCTCAGAAGAAGCTTCATTATCTTCTCCTTCAATTGGCGGAGGTGGTGATATAGCAATTGAGGAACAAGATGACAATTCAGTTAGTACTGAAGAGGTACGCAATCTAGAAATGGAAACTGTACATTCAGGTAATATAATTAATTCTTCATCTTCGTCATCGGATCCTTCAAATAACTCCAATGATGATAGATCTGGAAGAAGATACCCTGAAAGAGTACGCAAACCTCCAAACTATTTTTCTTATAATACTCTAAGCGATGATCCGCTGTGCGGTGATCCTTTGACTTATCGTGACGCCATTACGAGAGATGATAAAAATGACTGGATCACTGCGATGAATAATGAGTATGATGCTTTATTAAAGAGGAAAACTTGGGTATTGGTGGAAAAACCAAGCTTTACATCTTGTATTCCATCTAAGTGGGTTTACAAATTGAAAAGAGATGCTGAAGGAAATATAGTCAAATATAAAGCTCGTTTAGTAGCTAAAGGTTTTACACAAATAGAAGGTGTAGACTATTATGCGACTTTTTCTCCCGTTGTACGCTCCTCATCGTTGCGAACGCTGTTAGCACTAGCAGTACAGGAAGGATACAAAATACGTCATATGGATGTAGACACTGCCTTTTTATATGGTGATTTGGAAGAAGAAGTCTATATGGATCAGCCAGAAGGGTTTGTCCAGAGAAAGGAAGATAAAAATAAGGTATGTTTATTGAAAAAGGCCTTATATGGTTTGAAACAAGCTCCGAGAGCTTGGAATATAAAGTTAAAACAAACTTTGTCAACTATTGGATTCACTCAAACACCATCAGAATATATTTCGAATACAGACTCCTTGGTTATAGCAATATATGTTGATGATCTTTTAATTATGTATAAAAATGAAGTTACATTTGACAACTTCAAATGTGAGTTAGAAAATTATTTTTCACTTAAAGATCTTGGTATTATTAATTATTTCATAGGCATAAATATATCTTGCCAAGACAATATTATTAAAATATGTCAAAGTACATATATTGAAAGTTTGTTAAAAAGGTTTGAAATGCAAAACTGTAAATCGGTTTCAACACCCCTTGCTCAAAAAAAACTGGAACCTAGTACAGGTGAGTCTAACTATTCCTATCAAGCATTAATTGGCTGTCTTATGTATTTGGCAGTAAATACAAGGCCTGATATAGCTTACGCAGTGAGTTACTTAAGCCAATTTAACTCCAATAATGGTCAATCTCATTGGAATGCTGCTAAGCGATGTCTTCGATATTTAAGTGCAACTAAGCATGTTGGTATTTCGTACAGAAAGACTGAAGACTCCTCTATACTGCGTGGTTACTCAGATGCTGACTTCGCAAACTGTCCTGTCAGTCGTCGCTCATATACAGGATTCTACTTCGAACTCGCAAAAGGCCCTATTTCTTGGGAATCAAGAAAACAGCCTACAGTCGCATTGTCCTCTGCGGAATCCGAATACATGGCGCTATCAGCAGCTGCTAAGGAAAGTTGTTTCTTAAAACGTTTTGTGGCAGAAATAACAGGTAAAACTCTAAATGTTGTCACTTTTTCTGATAGTCAGAGTGCCCAGAAACTTGCGTTGAATCCAGTTCATCACAATAGAACCAAACATATAGACGTAAAGTGTCATTTTATTAGAGAAAAAGTAAATGACAAAATTATAGAATTAAGGTATATGCCCACTGATTCACTACCAGCGGATGTTTTGACAAAACCTTTAGGTCATGTTAAGCATTTACGATGTATGACGAATATGGGCATTGGGTAACCTTTTATCTTGTTATTTTTGTACCTGTATTTTTGTTAAGTAATATTTTTGTTATATATATATATTTTGATTACGGGAGGATATGTTGTAAAAACTCTATAGTCGTTTTTATTAATGTTCTATAATCAAAATATTAAATACAAAAATATAACAATATAATAATTTATGACAGTTTGCTATTCTCTTCTAAACTTCACATAATACATACATTTTTATTATTCATCCAACTGAGCTTATTATTTTCAACAAATATACCTACTTACGTAAGTCAATCCGATTATTTTTGTAATAAAAAATGCTGTAATAGCCAAGACTATATACTTATACTTATTTAATAAGTATAAATATATCTTGATTCATATTTATAAAACACTGCTCAAAAAATTTATATATTACCATGACATTTTTTTTATTGTTTTTTCTTTCTGCCGTCTAATTTTGTTTCTGTCGTGAAGCAGTTGTTTTGATTTTAAAAGTAGTAAAATGACAGTAAAATTACAGAGTACGAAGGTATAACACCTTAGACCTCAGAAATGGCAATGCATGAGAGATATCATGGGCAACACAGTATATTCCGTTAAGTGGTACTTTTTTTTCTCTTTATTTAGGTCAACAAACAGTAGACACAATAACAATATATATACATATGTATCTAAATATCAATAATTTTAGTGTCACCAACGACGTTGGCCATCTATTACTATAAAACAAAATATGCAAAATGGTTGTCTGCAACTACTTGTACAAAATCAAACATATACACATACATGAATGACAGAAATGTAAAGAGGTGCGTACCAGTGATCCACTCAAAATCAAAGAACTTCCAAATTGATGTTATAATATTTAAAAAATTAAAATATATTTAGCAGCAATAAATAAGTACTATATCTAGACGACGGTTACCACTTTCCATTAGGTGGGCTGTCTGCTTGTATATCATTCTAAGTTGCATAAAAAAAAACATACTAGCTATAGACAACAATAAATGTCGTATTGTTATGGTTGTGTAAATATAGATTTACCTGGTTCTTATAGTTGCTTAAGCATATCAATAGATACTTGTTTAATTATGTATACCTACTTTCCTGTGCATAATAAATATATATTTTTATATTGGTACTAAAAGTATTGTCTAATGGAAGGTTTTTCTTATTTTCCTAAGATTATATATATATATATATATATATTTAAAAAACCTTGAACACTTGAACGGATTTGAGCAGAATTTTAAACAGATACACCATAGGACACATGTAGCTAGTTATAATTCGGTTAAAACTTTAACAATCCTTTTCTCTTTATGAATATGTAAGGTACATGTACATTATTGCACATCCTATGTCCTAACCATAGGAAAATAATTATATTATAACTGAATTATTGAGTTAAAACTAGAATTTTTTAAACATATATGTACCTACGTCTATAGGCGTCGGTTATTCTTTGCATGAGGTGGACCGTCAGCTAGTATGCCATTAATAATTAGGTTTGAATCATTTGTGTATTTAGATCCTATATTTGTACTCCCATATTAAGCTGTCGAACCTTTTGAGACGGTTGTCTAGACGTATAGTGGCTATGCCTATTTTACTGCAATGATTATATAATTTACACATAATCATCGCAGTCAAATGCAAACAACTTGGTGTAGCGTGGGCATATCGGTATAACAAGTGCAGTTGAGTGAACGTTTATCAGTGCTCTAGAATGGCCCCTCAAATTAAATACACAAAAGTATATACCTACATATTTTTAAAGTATCATTTTATATTTATTGTATATAATTTTATATTTATTCGTTAAATCTGTTAGATTTTTATAGATAATGAATGGGTCGATTCCAAGAGCGGAAAAACTTTCGAGACTTACAATCCTCATGATGAATCCGTGATTGCGAAAGTGGCTGAAGGAGATAAGGTAAATGAAACATTTTTTGTCGATTTGCTTCTTTTAATTAATTTTGCAAATTGTAGTTTCACGTAATTATTTACCTTTTTATTATCTCAGGTAGTTCTTTCGTGAATAGAATTGCATGAGACGTAATTACTGCTGGTGGTAGGCAATGTAATCTGTGATATATATGGCGCTCCTTTTTGTTTCTGTAAATGACGGTTACTACATTCCGTTAGCGTATGTTTTAATAATATGAAAAGGAAATGTGCTATCGATACACAATGGCGGGGCACCAGTAAAGTATGATAGAATAGGATGAAGGCAAATTAGTAAGACCATCGTGATTAATTTATCAGAATTTAATCATGATGTTTTCCACGGGCAACCGCGTGGAGGTCGACCTGATAGGGTATATTGCTAGCAAAGGGGTTCTAATTTCTATTACTAACGATCCCCCTCCCCCGCCGTTATCGTGTTTGCCATTCCAAAATGCATATAAAAATATTTTTTGCTCCTTTAAAACTACAAATTATTATTAATAGCATTGACATTTGTTTGCAAATATATGAAACTGGCTGTATCTTTTACAGACTAGCACGTTTAAGCAAACAGTCAAACTTCCACTTTATTATACATATTTTATATTAATATGGATATTTGAACAAGAACATTTACCCATCTGTTTCTGAAAATGTTTTTATGAATATAATGCTATTGATAGCTACGTGCTATGTACTTAAGTGTATGTAAATTTGTTCAGGCTGATGTGGACGAAGCGGTGAAGGCAGCCCGTCGCGCGTTCCACCGCAACTCTGAGTGGCGTTTAATGGACGCGTCACAACGAGGTCGGATCCTTCAGAGGTTCGCAGATCTCGTGGAACGGGATGCCAAGTATCTCGCTGAACTGGAAAGCTATAACAATGGCATGGTGCTCAGTTTCTCTAATTTTATTGTGGCAAAAGTTATACCATGCATTCGATATATTGGCGGTTTGAGCGATAAGATACAGGGAGATACCATACCGGCAGGTAATTGTTTGTATACTTATATAACTTTTTAAATATTTATTTTGCGACGTATGGCATATAGGAGTGTTGTGGCCTTCTGATCGACAATGTTAATATTTAATATCAAATGTATTTTTAATGAAGGTAAGCATTATAATAAACTTACTTTTAAAAAGGTAACAACTTTTTTAAAAGTAGGTTTATTCAATCTAATATTTTTTGGTAGGTCTATATTGTAGAAAATACTAGAAGAACAAATGTGTGCAAGATTCCAAAAAACACTATTAGTTGTTATCACATTTAAAAACATTTTACATCACATGATCATGGTTAATTTACCTACGTGTACAGACGAGAAAGAGTTGAAAATTGGAGTAATGTAGAATCAAAGTTAAAAATTTATGACATACATATCCTGTATATAAAAATACCTTATACTCTCATAATTATGTTTTTTTTTATCGATAAAAATGGAATGGTAACTCGCCTGCGTTAACGGTATACGTTCGCGGGGCATAAGTGAGAATGGCAAGTCAATTAGCCTATTGTTATGAATACACCTGGAATTCAGCACGATGATTTCCACATGGGGGACCACATGGAAATAGACCTGAAAAATATATTGCTAGCAATGGGAATGGCAGCAATATATCTTGATCCCCCCCTCCGTAGTGTTAAATTTGACATAGTGGTAAGTATACTCCCGCTGTTGGTATACGCCGGCGGGGTACTAGTGAGGAATGATAGATGAGGTTGAAGACATGTCACTCGGCACATGAAATAAATTCATTAGAAATCAATGATCGATAAAATACTAGCAATGCGACAACTATCATTACTAAGAATTTTCCCCGTGAAATATTGTGCAGGTAACATAATAATGTATGTTTTCATTGCAGATGGCGATGTATTTAGTTATACTTTGAAGCAACCCGTCGGAGTTTGTGGTCTTATTTTACCATGGAACGGTCCGATTGTCATATTTGTTTACAAAGTCACTGCAGCTCTTGCCGCTGGTAAGTAAATTACGAGTTGTTATATGCTATAATTAGCTGTATTTTGCGACTTTACTCGTGGTCGTTTCGTGATAAATAGCCTTGGACACTTTCCTTCAGAAATGAACAAGCGAATGAACTAAAATATAAACTATCAAATGTAAATGGCGTATCCTCTCGTTCGACGAAGTCTCTTATCCTCAAAATCCCTGTTCACTTGTCTACGCGCTATAGCTCCTTCCTCCTTTACAGTTCATGTTGCTAGATTGTGGAATTTCCTTCACATGTTTATCCGTGAGAGTCAATCGTCAACTATTTTTAAGAATAGACTTAAAGAGCATTTATCCTTATAAAAATATAATTATTTATTTCTGTATGTATGTATATCTACGATTAAATATAATTAGTCATGTATAAACTAAGTTTTATTAGTTTTTCTTGTTTGAAAATTGTCACAATATTGTACAACGCTCTACTCCCTGATATTGATGCTCCTTTTCACTTTGGGTTTGTTGGAAGAGAACTCGTAGAGTAATGCTGTTTACAAAGGTTTGTACATATATCTTACTTTTGATATATTATTAATATATACACAATACTTAGTATAAATTAAATTAAATTAAATCAAAAAGAATGTTCTAAATCCGACAGGTAGTTCCAGAGGTTAGTGTGATTAGAAAAAATTTTTTTTTCGATTTATACATTATGTATAGGTACAGTCATCTGCTACATAACTTGAGACATAACATAATAAAATTAACATAGTCTGCAAATCAATCCTTTATTACTCGTATAATTCACGTCAGTTCTGCATAGGCTACTTTTGGTTGCCAATATAAATATAAACAGTACATTACGCATTTAACATATAACTAGTAGACGATGTCTGAATTCATGTCTGACATGTTCAATGTCTGATGATATCATCAGACAATTTATTCAACAATTCTGTACTTGAGTTATATGGATAAGGTTAAGTATTTGAATATGATTGGCACAATCCTGCTTTCTTAATACTCACTTTATCTTTTAAGATAATGTGTCAACAGCAGTTAACATTTAATTATTAGGATTTCTTTATTTTATGAGATTATTTAAAATTGTCGCCATTTATTTTGTGATTACGACCACAAACTGTTCTCTACTACAACCGGGTAAAACGTACTTGTCACGTCTGAAAAGTAACAGTTTAACACGAATCTAAATATTTCTGCTAGTTGATTTTGCCCATATCAATTCTATTTAGTTAAAATCTTAGCTTAAGACGGTTACAATTATATATTTGCATTTTATATTATTACATGCATTGAATATCTTATTTAAGTAGCTATGTATAGACCTACACAGAATCGATGTAATAACATTATTAAATTTAAATATTCTAATGAATAAAAAACTTTAGTTATTGTATAACGTTCTAGAAGGAGTGCTTGGTATTTATTTTGATTATTTAATCGCCCAAGTTAGTATAAGCTTGGATAAAAATTAGCAAACATGGTCGCGATATTACTAAAATATAAAATGATAAAAATATATTTTTGTCTATTTGTTGTTTGGTATTAATTAGTTTTTTTTTACAAATGGGTAAATTTTGTAATTTATTATTTTGTCATTATAACTTGGATATTTTTATAGATTTGTTAAACTCGTGAACTTTGTTTTGCATAGAGGTACACAATAAATATGTTGTGTAGTGAATTAATTTTTATTAAAATATATTGTATAATAGCTATGTGATACAAAGTGATATTTCATTCAGATTAAATAAATTCTATTATCCTATATATTATTGCTTATTTTTCTCGACTAAAACGAAAAAAACTAATTTATTTAATTTTACTCTATATTACGATGGATACACTTCAAGAGTGGTTGTAATAAGTTTATTGGTGTGATAAGGATTATGTTATTTTTATCTTTTAAGGTTGCACGGTGGTCGTAAAGCCTGCAGAACAGGCCCCATTAACGACTTTAGCCCTGGCGGCGTTGCTTGCGGAGGCTGGTGCTCCTAAGGGTGTCATCAACGTGGTTCCCGGTTTCGGGGAGACGGCCGGAGCAGCGCTCACACGTCACAAAGATGTTGCTAAAATATCATTCACAGGATCCATTGAGGTATGGACATTACTTTCTTATTGAAGTTTTTTAATATTAAGCAGGAAATTACGAGGCTTCTCCTGTACGGAAGCAGTTTCCTCCCATTTTCATGGTAATTTCCGAGAACTATTACAATATTTATTTATTTATTTAAGGAACACCAACAGCATATTGCATTATAACATATAGGTATAACAACATTAAATACAATACAATATTAATGCACATGCCAATGGGTATTCAATGCACATTCATTGAATACCCTATGGAAACTCTATTCTGTGTAAGATTCCAATGCTGTAGATTTTATATTTTCAGAGAATTTGTGATTATTTAGCGTGCAAACAAAAACAATTACAACCATTATCATCATTCAGCCGTTAACTGTCCCTTGCGAAATATTGGCCTCCCCAATTGGAGGGTTGTACTATGCTTGCTTGGTTTGGTGATGTTTTCAGGTGGACGCTTATCGCTCGACCGTTAATATCCTTTAGTCACTTCTTACGACACTCACGAGAAATATATATATATATATATATTAAAGTTTTAACCAAATTATAACTAGCTATATGAATCCTATCTGTTATTAAAATTCTGTTCAAATCTGTTGAAGTGTTCAAGGGTGATTGAGGAACAAACATTCAATGACTGTGAAATTTGCCGATGATTCCCTTATCTAGTTTTCCTAGGACACTAGACTGAGGAACAATGGCGAGTACGGATTATAAGCAACAGTATCTACCTATCGCGACAAAATTTTATAACGCACTTAAATAAAAAATGCTCTACGGTATCTGTACTTTATTTAAGTGATCACGTGTTTGGATTGTGTATTTGGTTTAATTATTGTTATTAGGTTGGCAAGTTAATTCAACAAGCGGCAGGAGTCAACAACTTGAAAAGGGTGACTTTAGAACTAGGCGGTAAAAGCCCACTCGTTATTATGAACGATGCCGACCGTGAGTTTCATTTCTGATCTCTCTTATGTCTCCAATTTATTAAATTAATAAGCCATTTACAGGGCAAATTGTTTATAAAGTGAATTTTCACAATTAGTAATAGCAATAACAATAAATGCGACAAATCTATTAATTTGTGAATTGAATTCGTCGCGTTCATTGTTATCGCTATTGATAATAAATGAGATCATTTTATTTGGATGTTACGGGATGAGAAACCATTTCATTTCTTCCAATTTTCTCGTTTCTTTCCCGCGATGTTTCTATGTATTTGAGGAAATAGTAATAGCATTTGAACGTTTGGTAATTTGTCTCTAGGTAGTATTTACAAATAAGTATATACAACATTATCATATCAGTTTTTAATGATGATGAAAGATGCCATGCTTGGCAGGTGTGTTGGCATGTAGAATATACTTATTAAAATTACTAGAACTTGGTTACTACTTAATTTTTTTGCAACAATAAATATAATTAGTCTTTCGAGAGGTATCTTCGAGGTCACTACCTACATACTGACCTATCGTTATACATTTTTTCTGAACATTATATTAATGTCAATACTTATCATTATAATTGACTTGTATAAGTAATGTTATTGTGAAACCTCTTTACAATATGTTTTTTATTAGTGATAAATACAAGTAATTTTAATTTGATATTGTGTTCTGTAAAATATAGTGAAACAACGTGACAATATCACAGTGAATTTAGAGTGTTATCATCATAAATTCATCTATCCATTTTATATCTATGCCATACAATGATCCAATCTCAGATGAATTATTATCCCAGGGTTCAGTTTACCATAAGCTATTTTCAACCAACTTACAAAAAAGAGGTTCTCAATTCAGTTGTATTTTTTATAACTCTGTTATTTATAAACTATTTTGGAAATTTATTTTTTTACTTGAAACGATATATATTCAGATTGGTCTCATAGAAATTTTATTAAAATCAGTTCAGTAGTTTAATCTGTAAGTATATCCTTTCAGATAAAAAAAGATTTTTTATAAATCGGTTTACAACTGACGGAGTTATGAGGTAACAAACAAAAAATACAACGGAATTGAAAACTTCCTTTTTTTTTAAAGTAGGTTGAAAAGATAAAAAATTTTGAGCCTTTCAGCTGATACGACACGCCCATCTGTTAAGGCAGTATAGGAAGATAAATTTATTTTTCATTTTTGGATTTTTCATTCCCGACATTTTTGTCTTAATATATTTTATAGTATGGGTAGAGTCTTAGTTTTACTAATGACTTCGAATTCACCCTGTTTGGATAACAGTAGTATTATAGTTTCCATATGGGTAGGTATTGTCTACTTAAATATACAAAACCTATCTAAATCTCTTGCCGCTACATAACTAGATTAAATCACTAACATTATTACAACCACTAGAAGGGAGGGATTGTTAGTAACAGGGTCAAGCGACCCCATTACTAGCAATATACCAGGTCGACCCCAAGCGCGGCCATCTGGGGGCTATCATATGAATTCTTGACGAATTGGTCACGAAGGCCAACTGGCCTGCTTTCATTCTCACATTATTCCTCAACGATGCCCCGCCAGCGTACATCGACAGAGTATGCGTGGTTACAATTCTACTATCATTTGTTAAAAAAACTACTATAAGTACTAACATTTCTTATATCATCCCTCCTATGATTTATTAGGATAAATATGTATTGTACTGTAAAATCTTTATTGTACATAATTTACATTATATGTCTTTTTATTTAGTAAATGTGGCTGTGCCGTGTGCTGCTTCGGCAATATTTTCAATGCAAGGACAAGTGTGTGTCGCTGCATCGCGCTTATACGTCCAGTCGGATATTTACGACAAGTTCGTCGCGGCGGCAGTCAAGTACGCTCAGTCAATTAGAATTGGAAATCCCTTCGATCCTACCACACAACATGGGCCTCAGGTATTTTAATAAAAATAAATAACAAAATATTTGACTCTACTACTATTTTTTTCACACAACTTCACCAATCGGCAGTCTTTCACCGTGCGTTTTTCACACGGCACATTCTTCCACGCACCACCACTCTTTGGAATCAACTTCCAATAGCAGTATTTCCAAACCGATATAACATTGTAACCTTCAAGAAAAGAGCATATTTCTTTTTAAATGACCGGCAACATATCTGCAATACCATTGGTGATCATGGGCGGCGGTAGTCACTTACCATCAAGTGAGCCGCATGCTCGTTTGCCCCTGTGTTATAAAAAAAAAATTAAAAAATCTAAATTGTTTTATATTATAATTTTATAACTTATAACATATAATAATAACAGATACGTAAGTTATTAAATTAACGTCCGCCAAAATACAAATTAATCTCATCGCAAAATGTATTATTACACATGTATAAATAGAAGCTATAGACTGTGACCAAAACCTAACGACTAGATCAAACTGAGTAATCTCTAATGAACCCATCTAAATAAGAGAGATTAGTCAGTTAGATTGTGGAAATAGTTAGTAACTTCCTAGAATTACCCGTAGTTAATTAAGGTCGGAAGCATTATTCTAGACGTGTGAGTTTGTATACCGTGTCATCGTCCTCTTTTGCTGTAAGGGACTATTAGGAGCAAAGCGCAATATATCAGTGTAAGAGAAGGCAAATTTGAAATAAAACTCTATACTCTGGATGGCCGGTGTGGTAATATCTACTTCTTAAGAGAAGACCCGTGGCATTACAGGGTCTGAAATGGAGACCCGTGAGAAGAGATAATAATAGTTTGTTAAGAAAGATATTTTATCTTATAATTTTAAACGTAAAGTATCTTTGATACAGAATATAGATATTTTTTTAAATCTGTCAAGAGGTAACAAACCTAAATTACAGTTATAATAATAGTAAAGATACATCTTTGCTATTTAATGCCTTTTTTTTTAGTTTGTTTTAATGTAAATTAATGCTAGAAATAAGAAAACATAATGTGCTGCTACACAATTAAAGAATTCATTAACATTCCAGGTGGACGAGGTTACGATGAGGAAAGTTTTAGGTTATATTGAAAAGGGTAAACAAGAGGGTGCAAAATTATTGACGGGAGGCAGGCGTGTCGGTGATAGGGGTTATTACATCGAACCTACTGTGTTTGCTGATGTCAGGGATGATATGACCATTGCAAGGGAAGAGGTGATTTATATTAATATCATTATATTATTATCTGTGATAACAAAATAATTTCATACCATTTATATTTATTATTATAAGCTGATCCGACAGAAGTCGTTCTCTCAAAATTATTAGAAACAGTTTGTGTGGGAAAAAAGAAAAATGAGGGCTTTACGTTTTTCCGGGCAATTTTTGTAATTTTTCTCTCTCAAACATCAACATATATTTGAAAAAAAAAGAAATGCCGAAATGGTCTAGCTGGTCACAAGTTTTGCGCTTAGAAATATATTTAGATTAATGTTTAATTATATAAATTATGTTTGTATTCAGCGAATGTATTGATTAGGTATTACCAGAGGGAGACTTTGTACAAAAGTCGTTTGCTTGTGTACCTCTGTCCCATTTGTGTTTCAACCGTAAAGTTAATCGTAAAGTTGTTTTTGCATGGCTGTGTTTCGGTTTGAAGGATGGGATATGGCGTGAATTTACAGGGTACAGAGGAATAACACCTGAGTCCTCAGGAATGGCAATGCATGAGGGGTATCATGGGCGAAACAGTAAACTCTGTTATGTCCATGGTACTTCTCATGTCTATAGGCGACGGTTACCACTTTCAATCAGGTAGGCCGCCAGCTTGTTTGCCATTCTAAGTTGTATAAAAAAAAAGAATAAAAAAATTATTGATTATTTTTTACAACTAATATAATAATATGTTTTATGATAAACACACATATCTAATTCGAATATAAATATTAACAGCATTTAATTTTTATTTAAAAATTGTAATATCACTCCCCTACATTTATTAAACTGAGTCTATTAGAATTTAGAGCATTTCCTGATGCAGGAGAAATAAGTAATTATTATGTAAATAAACAACACATGAACATAGATATAGTATTCGAATAATTTAAGCAGACACAGATAAATCATGATAGCGCGCATGTTGCATTTTAATTCAAGGAGATAAAAGGGCGCCACCTAGCAATGTCGCGTCGTGTTTGATGCTGAGTTTGAGGTTGTTCGTTTGGTGTTTGAATATTTATTATATAAAGTTTTCTAAAGCACTACAGAATAACAAGTATATTTTATTCCGTAAAATACAACATCTTAAATCTTATTTAAAAACAAATGTAGCTATGAACGACAAGGTGGTTTGTAGACACTTCACATATTTTTTAAATTTAGATTCTGGTATAATTATGTTTGTAGCTTAGATTAAAAGTACAAGAAGACGACATGTTGATTTGTCTATAGTCTGCAAATTATGCTTTGCAACATGCAGTATTTTGTTCTGTAAAACAAAACGGTAGCTTTACATAATAGGCCCTAGATGGATATAAACACAATATTGCATAAAAAAATATCAAATTGATTCAGAATTGGTTACATAATTGCGTAACGAAAAATTAAACATGTACACAAAATTAAACGGCTTAGTCTGGTTTCTTACGTGAGCTCAACTTAAAAATACGAAGACATGTGTGACAAGATAGATATTTATATTATTTATTTTTCTACCTAGATATTCGGGCCGGTCCAGAGCATCTTTAAATTTGATACGCTTGAAGAGGTGCTGGAACGAGCCAACAACACGACATTTGGCCTTGCCGCTGGTATCTTTACAACAAACGTTAACACGGCTTTACAGTTCAGTAAACACGTCGAAGCTGGCGTCGTTTGGTAAGACTCATGTAATTCTTAAATTAATTCGACGTAACTAGCATGTAAGAAGTGTCTATTAGCCTGATTAATAACACTCTACATATTATACTGCGCATTCCAATCGCATACCAATATATGTATATATATATATATATATATATATATATATATATTTAAGGGTATTTATAGATTATTATTTAATCTGTGTTATGAAAAATAAAAACAAAATAGATGGTATATTTGTTCCCTTATGATCTATAGGGAAGGCCTATGTTCAGCAGTGGACTGATAATGGTTGATGATGATGATAACGATTTTATTTTACCATTTTTGTGTTGTGTAAGTATAATTTATTTATTTATCAAATTTCTTTATTTTGATCAGGGTAAACACTTATCTGACCATAGGCTCCCATACTCCATTTGGGGGTGTCAAAGATTCTGGTGTTGGTCGTGAAAAGTAAGTTTTTCGTTACTATATAATTGCTAAAGTCTTCGATTTTGTTCTTGTGGTCTGTAGATTAATAATTTATTTATTTATTTAAACTTCAATGCACATTTGGTGAATTTAATATCGGATGGTGTTCTCTACCAGTCAACCATTGTGCAAACAGAGAAATAGGTAGGCGGTGCATTAGATCAAGAAAACAAAGGAATATCTACTTAAAATAATCCCTTTATTTGAACCTTAACTAATTACGCAGGTTCACAAATGTTGATCGTTGTGAGTTGGCACACTCCACCCCTGCCATGTTGGATTCAAATAAGCTATGCGAAATGTGTTTTGTGTTACATTCACATAAAGGTAACAGTCGACAATTGCCTCTGACAGTGGGGAGAGGATTGTTAGTAACGGAAACTATATATAAACCCATTGTTAGCAATATACTCTGACAGGTCGAACTTTACATGGTCCCCCCTGAATGACACGGTGTTTAATTAATTGCTGGTGAATTTGCCATAATTAGTCAAACGATCTAAATTCAGTCCTACCTATTATAATATTGGTATCACTCCGATATCTACATATTAGGTTCCTCTGTACATTCATATCGGATAAAAGGTCATATTCTATTTTTATATTGCCTATACTGGTTTTTTTTAATGGATGATAATGGAATAGTAACCCCGCCTGCGCTATCGATATAGACTGGTGGGGCATCAGTGAGGGATGATTGGTGAGGATGAAAAAGCAGGTCAGTTAGCCCATCGTGACCAATTAAACGATAAATTAGTAGCGACGGTTTTCAGAGGGAACCACGTGGAGGTCGACCTGATAAGGTATATTGATAGCAATAGGGACCTTATTATTAACAATTCCTTGCCTCGCCCATACCAGTTGAACACCTATATTCATTTCAATATTTAATATATCTGTTATTGAACTAATATAATTATATACGTTAGGTACCCACTCCTATTGCTAGCTTAAAGCGATAGCGCAGGCGGTGTTGCTATTATATTTTTATGAAAAAAACACCTCTAATTACCCCCTAAGGAATTAGTCGTGAACATTTATTATTTTCTGATATTCATATTTTTTTTATTATCTATACAGTGGGCCGCAGTGTTTGGATCCGTATTTAGAAGTGAAGAGTGTAACTATAAACCTGCCTAAGAAAATTTAAATGCCACCATGATTACCTCATTATATTTGGAAATATAAAAACAATCAATAATAAATTATATATATATATTTTATGTTTTTTATATAATCTTTCAACTGACTTGTATCTAAATGGAAATGGAAGAAACTTTTATGGTTCTTATTAAACTATTAAATATGATCATGTATTTTATTGATACATCATGTAATTTAAAATTTATTAACCATAGGGAGGCTTTGTACAAAAGTTGTTTGCTTGGGCACCTCTGTCCCATTCGTGTTTCTACCGTTGCAGTTGTTGAATTACAGAATATAGAGGAATAACACCTGGGTCCTCAGGAATGGTAAAGCATGGGAGGGGGGTATCATGGATGAAACAGTTATGTACATGGCACTGCCCGTGACTATAGGCGATGATTACCACTTTCCGTCAGGTAGGCCGTTAGTTTTTTTCCATTGTAACTTGCATAAAAAAAATTAAAACTACCTTTCTGTAAATACGTCTATTTACAGTAATAATGTTTAATATTATGGAATTTGATAAATATTATATATCATAAAAGTATTAAAATGTAAGAATATTAATAAGTTCAAAGGTTTCATTAAAAATTTATAATATTAAATACTTTTACAGTACAGTTATTCAACCGAATAGTTTAGCAGACTTAGTTAAAAGCAATTATGTCAGTAGGTAAATGTCTAACCACCTAAGTTTATAACTATGAGTATCAAAAGATCTAAAGGGTTGCTTTAACAAAGCTATAAAAACTTCGCTAAGTACTTATTAAACTCTGAGGCAATTTACGATTGGCAGGCAAACAAAACTTAAAACAGATAAGATTATGATGTTGTCGAATGTACCTTTTATATTTTTTCCAGAAAAAACTTTCCTTTTGGAGTATCAGTAACAGAACTTATGATTAGCGTTTGTTGATTAGCTTTTTGTTGTCTAAATAATCTATAATGAAATATTTTACGCCAGCTTAAAACTGTTGAACGTGATTTGCAAGTTTCAAATCAAATAGATGACCCAATTTCCTCTTTAGAAATTTTATAAAGAATTTAGGTGAATTATGAAAGCGTAGTATGTAAATTGAATTATTCGGAACAACTTTTTATTTATTAATTACTTTTTATAGAACCATTTTCTTTTAGTAAACATATCCAGGTCCCGGCATAGAATAGGCCACTCCGTCCTTTTCATGAAAGGCGACTAAGGAAGCAATGGTCGAGGGGTGGGCAGCAACATACCTCATAAAACATAAACAAAAGCTAAACTGCGGTTGCAAATCCGCCTGCCAAGCGTGATAACTATTGACAAAACCGCCCTTAATCGCTATGTTCAGCAGTGGACAGGTAAAGGCTGTTAATAAAACAAACAAAAAAAAAATATATCATAAAAATCAAAATGTAAGAAATCGTTCAAATAAAAAATTTATAATATTAAATCTATTTTTTCTACAGTTATTCAGATCCATAATTAGTAAAAGCAATTATGCAGTATTTGTTATGACGATAATAGATATATCGTTATCAATGTACTATAATTTTGGATTCAATTTTTTTTTTTTTTTTATTAAACTCTGAGGCAATTTACGATTGGCAGGCAAACAAAACTTGAAACAGATAAGATTATGATGTTGTCGAAGTAGTAACCGTCCAGCCTATAGAACATGTTTGTTGATTAGCTTTTTGTTGTCTAAATAATCTATAATGAAATATTTTACATGGAAATAATTGAACGTATTTGTTTCAAATCAAATAGATGACCCCCCATTTCCTCGTTAGAAATTTTGAGGAATTTAGTGTTATTCCTCTGTACCCATGTAAATATCACACAATATTAATTTGATAGCATTGTACATTTTATAGAAGACTTTTAGTACAAATATCGATTGCATAGAATAGGCCACTCTGTCCCATTCGTGTTTCAAAGGCGTAAAGAAATTGTGTTTGCATGGCTGTGTTTCGGTTTGAAGGGTTGCAAATATGCCAAGCGTGATAACTACTGACAAAACCGCCCTTAATCGCTATGTTCAGCAGCGGACAGGTAAAGGCTGTTAATAAAAAAAACAAAAAAAAAAAATTCGATACCAAATCATGTAGAGTTCGTGGTAAATCAAAGAAAGCTATATCTATTTTTTCTAATCGAGGCGTATTTGTTATGACGATAATAGATATATCGTTATCAATGTATTATGATTTTGGATTCAATATCACACAATATTAATTGAATAGCATTGTACATACATGCATACTTTGTACAAAAGTCGATTGCTTGGGTACCTCTGTCCCATTCGTGTTTCTACCATGAAGCAGTTGTGTTTGTATGGCTATGTTTCGGTTTGAAGAGTGGGATATGGCGTGAATTTACAGGGTACAGAGGAATGACATCTGAGTCCTCAGGAGTGGCAACGCATGGGGGGTATCATGAGCGAAACAGTATACTCTGTTATGTCCATGGTACTGCTCATGTCTATAGGTGACGGTTACCACTTTCCATCAGGTGGGCCATCAGCTTGTTTGTCATTCTAAGTTGTATGTTTAAAAAAAATACAAAAACAGTAATAGGGGAATGTTAAGCACGTAGTAGAATTCTCTCCGAGACAAAAAGGATATAAAGATGACAGAAGACCTACCACTTAGGATTTCAGATTTTCAATATATTATGCAAGCATTCTATATGTGGTAATGGATGTTTCACTCGTCTATTAGGTGAGGCCTCCTATTTTTTTTTTTCTCATCCGCAAATGAAGAGAACCTGAACTTACTTACTCATATTTACTAAACACTATTTGAGCTGTAGAGATACCTTACAATGTTTTTTACTCTTTTCAAAAATATAAATTGAAAACCTATGTTCAGCCAGTTCCGGCAGGAGTTAATGAACTCAAGTAATTGTATAGGGTTATGAAATCATAATTACCGTGAATTATGTAATAATAAATTTATTTAACAAATATTTTAAAATATCATTTTGAATATAGATACAAAATAAATGCACAAAATGCAAATATCGGTGTTTTATCTAAAATTCATATAGTATCTACTTAATATACCACAGTATTGCAATTAAAGAAAATTTATCTCAAGATAGAGCAAAAATTCATTTCTCAAAACAGTCTTATAAAGTATTTCGTCTAAACTAGAGAAACAATATAATATACTTATTACAAAAATACAAAATAGTTGAAACTATAAGTAACAATATAAGTAGTATTATTATAACACATTTTTTAATAATAAATCTGCAAAAAATATTGTAGGTAAATAATAACTATATATAAACAAAACAAGGTCTTTGATTAAAATATTATAATTTCAACATTTAAATACTCGGAAGTCGATGGTTACCACTTTTTATCAAGTGGGCTGTGAGCTCCTTTACTATTCCAATTGATGAAAAAACCTCTTTTGCCGTAGGTACCGGGGTCTAGATTTAGTGCTCATAAAAGCTTAGAACACCTGTCTCTAAATTGCCAATAAATACATATGGTACCACCGGGGATGCTTTTTATTGTACGCATTTTTCAAATTTTTGCAAACATAAGATTATTAGGATCGTTTACATATTTTATAACATTTTCTATAACAATTTTTCCTCATTCAACAATTGCCACGTGTAATATTAATCACAATAAATTTCATAAAGACATGATTTTAAGATTAGATGTCGTTATAAGTAGGTAAGTATACTACATTATATTAATTCTCGCCTTTCATGGATAATCTGGCCGAGCTAAACCTTATTCCAATGTCATAAAGTTTGGTTTAAACATCATTATTACAAAATAATAAATACATACAGGGTGTAATAAAGAGAATACCAATCCAATATCCGGTGATGGTCGTTAGTACTTATAAAACAGGTTCACTTACCCGGGCAAAGTCGAAGGTCGATGTGGGATACAAACGAAATTGATCCTTCATGCAAACTGCGCGGTAATGTGACCGATTTAAGTCGAGCGGTAAAAATTATATTGATATATCTACATGTTCCTCGAAATAAGTTTTTCAGTTTTATTAATCGTCGTAGGATTTCGAGCGGTTATAAATTATAACTTTTATGTTTCACTCTGCAGATATGTCGTATGTACTAGTAAAGTATAAATCTATTGGGGTTTTCCCAAGAGACTACAGTAGGGGTTCTTCAAAAGTGGGGTAAAGAGGTTTCTTCAGGGTTGGAAACGTACGTGCAATGCCTTTAGTATTGTAAGTAGGAAGGGGATTGTTGGTAATGGAGTCTAAAAGCCCAATTGCCAGCAATATAGCTAGTAAGTCAACCTCCATGCGGTTTCCCCAGGAAACCATCGTGGTTAATTTTTGTGGAATTCTTCACCAGACCAGAATTTTCCTGACCAGCTGCCATTCTGACCTACCATCTATATCTGTGCCCCGCCAACGTATACCCACCCATAGCGCAGGCGGCGATACCATTCTATCAAAAATAAAAAAAATAGAAAAGTATTGCAGGTGTTCATAGGTTGCGATAACCGTTTGCTATCAGGCGGGCCGTATTTTTGTTTGTCACCTCATATATATGTTATAAAAATATAGAGATAGAAAAAAAAAATAGAATTCAGAAGTATACAAGGAAGTGTTTTACCAATGTAAATAAATACTATTCCCAAAGAAAAATCGATCGTAATCAACAGATGCGTAGCGTTAATATGGGAGGCTTGAATTCTTTCGTCTTTTTATATGCACGTTTCTTTGGGAAAATGTTCATTTTCACCGATAAAGCATTTCCTTAAAAGGATGCTAATGATTTCGATCTCATTCTGTATAATGTATACGGTTATATAAAAAACGACGACAAAAGCGGTATATTCCGTGACCGCGACGTTTTCATTGTAGTAATCTTTTTATATTAGCGTGTGTGGGGTTGTTTATGTAGATGATAGGGCAGGGTGTGCGCAAAACAAGGCAAGATAATTATTTTCTATTATATAAAGCCATATAAAAAATAATCCTGCTGTATTTAAATGTGTACGGTAGTGAAATGTGTATTATTTTATAAATACAGGATTAGTTAGTACACGACAAAGGCCTTGCTTGATATATTGTTTTGATTATGGGAAGAATTTAATAGTAGCGGTGTTTTTGAGCAATGCTTATTCGTGTGCCAATTTTAGAATTAGCTTTTTTAGTTTTTTTTTTTTTCTATTCACACAGTTCACAATAAAGTTTATCATAGTAATGGTAATTGGTATTAAACCAATGGCAAACGTTGCATGCATGATGCATCAGAATACGAGTAAATGGTTTTTCTTTCATGTCAATAACAAAATATAGTTCTTTAAATATCTTAAAGATATCTTGAAGGTAAACATTTTTAATGTTGGTACACAATTTTCATAAGACAAACATTTAAAATTACTACACAGTCTGTTGAAGAAAAAAAAATATATTGAATGTGTCTTTTGTAGTTTGTGTTGATGCCCAATAGTAGTAAACATGAAATATCGATTAATTGATTGATCGTTTTGTTATTAAACATGAAAAAAATTATATTTAGATAATGTTTCTATTATAATTTCAACAAAATGTGGTTACCTTTTCATTAAGTTTCATTAAAACAGACTATGGAAGTAAATTGATTTCTACGACATGTTGCTGCGCCGTGCAGTTTTTATTTTACGCGGTGCGGGTGACATCCGACGGTATAAAAGGAATTAGGTTCAGTGAAATTTTTGTACTCTAAATCAATCATATTTGATACTTGGTTAGGACTGAAATGATTTTTTAAAACACAGAGCTACATTTTACTATTACATTCTATGGTTTTAGTGCCTTGTCACCCCGCTAACGTGATAATGCGTAAAATACTTTATTGATTAGCATCGAGTGCCAGATATTTTCTAATACAGTTACAAGATATATCTAATATAAAAATACTTGAACTAATAAAATATATTTTGATATATAATAAAGAAAACTAAAAAAACCTAACATGTTGTATAATTCAGCCTTTTTAATTTTTAACTTCTTAGAAACCTATATTATTTAAAAGTGTTTGATTATGTATATTTGTTCACAAATCATTATTCACTATAAACCTATTACCTTCCGAATGCTTGCCAGTATACTTGTAATGGATTTTACCGTAGGCACCTGAAAAAAAGCAAGATGTAAGTAATATAAGAGTTATTAGAGATAGCTTGTACAAAATCATCCCTATTATATCTCGTATTCTCGTATATATATATTTTTCGCCAAGTCTATCACCTGTCGTTTCAGAATCTTGTTTAAATCTGTATTCTTATAAATGAAATAAGTAGTACATTTATAATTACATGATACTCATTTTTTGTATGAATTTAGATATATTTACGTGATAATATTTGATAGGCTTGAATAACATGGGACATACTTGTACCATAATCCATTGAGGCGAAGGCGCGGGAAAGAGTTTTATAAATTTCAAATGTGGCTAAGATAATTTTGTGCAAGTTATATTTATACTGTCTTGTTATCTTCTAGCAAAAAGCTTTCGGGTGAATGATCGACATTCACACATATATTTACACATTTTGTGAGTTTATACGACTCTATTTAAGCGTTAAAATATATATATTTATAAATGCAACGATACACACTTAGAGCATAATATTTAGATAACGTGTCTACTTATAAATGCTTCGATAAAAACAGCCTAACTTTTTGAAATGGCATATTTTTAAAATTATATTACTTTTGAAATTTTATTATATTTACAACTTAAAATGGCAAACAACTTGATGGCTCACTTAATGGAAAGTAGCAGCCTAAGCTATTAGTAACTTTTAGCGCACACAGATTTTTATATTAATATAATAAATCAAGAAATCTTTCAACGCATCGAGGCAACGTGCCTGAGGTACTGACAGTATTACCTCTCTAGATAAGACACCGTTGTTTTATATTTACTTAGCAATATAATATTGATTCAGATTTTTATATACTCTAGAACAGATTGAGCAGTTCAAGCATAGTATAAAAAAAGACGCATCAGCCGACAGTAGACTGTTTTCGATAATCTACGAGTAGATGGACATATGAGTACATATTTATTTACATTTTATTGCACCATTTCAAAAAATAATAAATACAGTAAATGTTAATAGGAAGTGATACAAAAGACTAATATTTGCCTATAAAATTAAACTAACACGTACTTCTATTAAATTTGCCTAAAAGGATCTAAAAAGTCTTGTATTAAACTATAAATAGTGACGTTCTTGACAATCTTCTTGTCTTAGCAATTTCATATATTTTGTATCTTATTTTATCTGAATTTATTTACTGTAAATATTATTAATTATACAATCTCGTACTAAATCTTTCTTTCTTTCACTCCTTCTGAATTTATATATATAAATATCATCAAGCCCACATCTTTTCTAAACAACAGTGTGTTGCAATAAAAGTCTATTATATTTTCTTGTGTGCAATAAAGAATAATAAAAATGAATAAAGAATATCATAAAAATATTAGCTAGAGAGCAAGAGCGTCCTAGTTATTTATTATTTCGTTCAAAAAGCATCATGAGATCAAATCTGGCTTATACTATAAAATTGTATCAATTACTTTGCGACAAACTATAAGGCAATCTTTAAGTAACAAAATAAATCTCGAAAGTGGCGACAGGCGCACGTCTGTGTCGTGTTGAATTCGAATGTGAAACTTACATTTTAAACGATCACACCACACTTAACAACCAAGACACGAACCATCCTGTAACGTCGTGTCCGATTTCCACGTAACCAGGTCTCAATACTACAATCCCCACAACAGAAAAATAAATAGCTGAAAAATTACAAAGTTTGACTGCCCCATCTGGAATTATAGTCGTAAATAAATGATACTAAAGCCGACCCCGTGCCTCTTTCTCATAACAAATTTGTTACGACATAAATCTACAATTATATAGCCGTGTAGGTCCTGACATAGAATAGGCCACCCCTTCCTTTCCTGGGTGTGTTGTAAAGGGCGACTAAGGGAGCTTATGATGGAAAGATGAACAGCAGCATCTCTCTTAAAACATCACCAAAAGCCAAACTGCAGTTGCCAACTCGCCTGTCAAGCGTGGCAACTACTCGAAAAACGAGGGGAGGAGGCTATGTTTAACAGTGGAAAGTTAACGGCTGATACAACAAATCTACAATTAAAAATATATAAAATCTTTATTTTGTATAAATTCAAATACTTTACCATGGAATTTCATAATCTCATAAATAATTAATAGATATCTTATAGTATAATGATTTTAGTTCGTTATAATAGTATTTTTAAATTATCTTTGCAAAATATGCGATTATCATCAATCATAATGATTGATCACCCACCATTGTCCATTGCTGAAAAATATGGAACACCATATTTGGGGTAAGTAATACAGGCGTTTCAACTCTTGAATCCCCCTTTATTTGTAAATGAAATAATTTACCTTTGTGTTTGCCCAACGCTGCAAAGTCAACAGGCAACGGTCTGCGAGATTGTGTTTGGGATAACTGTGACCTGTTCAGGTCATCCACAACTTCGTCTGGCGGACGTCTCACCCGCATGAATTCCCCTCGTGTTGCGGCTTCCCTTTGTTCACTTGCTGACACACGACGCGAGTCCAAAAATCGCAAAAGGGGTAATTTGTATATTACAAAGTACCTGTACAAATAAATTTGTTTTCTTATTACAGATGTTTACATTAAGAGTAATCGAATGGGATTTTTTTCTTTATAGAAAATCAGTAACCTTTTTCTTATTCGGTGTCTTACGAGAAATAAATTGAAAAGCAGGCAATATTTATATTTTTATTTGATCTCTTAGAAGTTATTACTCTAATAAACGCAAATCCTGAATGTATAGACTTTGAAAAAATTACCAATTATTTTATTTATATTGGTTTATCAAGAGTTTGTTGCACGATACATTCAATATGTATTCAAAAATATTATTATGTAGACATTTCTAGTATGTATTAATAGCTTTATCGAAGCATATACGCAATAAACAGAGGCCAAATCCCATTAACATTATGAATGTGAAAGTTTATAAGGATAGATGTATGGATGGATGTTTGTTACTCTTTCACGCAGAAAATATAAAAATAGATTAGAATGAAATTTCGTACACGGGTAGTACGTCCACGTCCTAACTAGATGGTACTTTATGTACTTAATGATTCATGCGAGGGAAGCCGCGTAATACAGGTTGTCAGCAATATAATTTTTAAATCGCTTTTAAAAAAATCTACGTGCCTCTTATGAAGAAGCTGTGAAAGCAGATCATCATCAATGTCATCGTCATCACCACCTTTGACCTCTATTGTCATTTTATTGACATCATAATATTACTACAAATTTATACGCCGAGAACGGCAGGACATGTTTGAGGTATTTATTATAATTTAAGAAAATTTAGTATGTACAAAATTTCAGATAAATGAAATTAATTGAATTATCGTGTATGTATGTATGTTTATGTTCGTATCTATGTTTTATATACATATATTTGTATACGTAAGTAAAATTTGTTTAATGCATTCATGTAAGTATATTTATATAATCATAATGTGCAGTAGTTCTCTATTTTATGTATTATATAGTTTGTGTCAATATAGATATATCTGTAAGTGTTTACGTACAATTTTCTTTTTTTTTTCATCGTATAAATATATTTGTTTTTAAGGTTGACTAGAAGAGAATGCTATAAAGCATTAGGTCTGCCTTTTGTATCAAACATTTTCTTGTAATGTTGACCACATTATAAAGAATAAATAAATAAAAATAACTAGAAATATAAAGGTCCTTTGAAAAAATATTTTCCTCGGTGCGCGTGTAAAGGTACAAAGATAATATAATACTACACTAGTAGTAAAGGAATGTATGTTATTGAAGCTGTACAAAGTACACAAAGATTTGCGGAATTTTTTAATAGATAGGTAACCATAACAACTCACTACCGGACAGTTCCTCCCCATTACATATTATATTAGCCTATTATTACCGTATTGGCTAGGCGAATAGGTTTTATTTATATTTGTTCTTTTCTTGTAAACTGCACTGCGCTTAGTTTTCCTAATCGCTTTTCACACGCTGGGAAAGAAAAAATAAGATAGGAATTTTTAGGTTATAATAAATTTAAGAAAATCGTCGCATGTTAAAAAGGAATACGTAAAATAATTTTAGAATTTGTCATACAACACATTGTTATTGTATTAATAAAAAGACCGACTTCGAACTTGATGAAATTAGTCCGATATGTGAGTTAATAATATAATTTTTAAAATCAATACGTCAAGACTAAAGTGGGATTAAATTATATTTCAATAGATATATTTGTTTATAAGGTGAACGGGAAGAGAAATCTATGATAGCTGTTTGCTATGTCATAGGCATATGTCGCTTACAGCATGAAGCGATAGATAGCAAAATCGAAGGTGCTCCAAGATTGGTCAACTTTCGTAATTTAAAACACAAAAATTTCTTTATTTTATAATAAAATATACTAAAATGGCAAAGGATTAAACAATTAATTTCTGGATTAATTAATACACTTTAAATGACAAATGTTAACCTAGTTGTTTGCATTAATCTCTCAGTGGTAACACATTTACCAAATAATCCATTGCTTAATTAGATACATAAATCGTTGCCCCACATGTTGTATATCACCTGAGTTTTAGATTATCTCAAGATTGAATTGTAGAATTCTGAGATGCGAATGTATTCTGAGCCTACTATAGTATAGGTCCTGAGTGACTCGCGTATGCGGATCTGCCGACGTAGTGCGCTAGTCCGAATAGATTCAAATATGTTGAGTATTAGCTTTTTGTTTGCTACTTTGTAAACGCAGATTTTAGAAGTAGGATAACTAATAAAATAGACCACTTTTTAATGGCGTGTTAAAATAAAAGAAATACAAGTTTTAAGTTGGGCTTTCAGGAATAGAACAGTGAAAACAGTTTTTAATTTAGTGCAGTAGTTTTTGTGTGATCTCGGAACAAACAAAGGCAGACAAAATTTCTAAAAAAATTTGTTTTGGGATCTATTGGTATTAAGATTCCGCATGTTATTTTTTTATATATCTCCCATGTACAGACATCGTATAGTTATAATTTTATAGCAAGATTCTCTGGCGGATTCGCTTACGCGATCGCTGTCGCTTAGGACCTACACTTACTGTTTATGATTACATATTATACGGGTAACTTCAGTACATTGAGTACTTCAAAATCCTAACTTTTGATTTACATAGTTATGATAGGAATATATAGTACCTATTTGGTGTTAGGGCTTTCTAATTTAAAGTACAGAATATATAATAGTATTTAGGTTAAACTAAATACGAGTAGTCCTAAATGTCAATAGAAAGTCATTAAATACTGTTCGATATTTAGGCACTTCTCTAAACTCTAATAGAAACTGTGAATTACTGTTATTATATAATTTAATACGAATTTTTACCTACGACTTCGTCCGTGTGCTGAAATATGTTAATCCACCGTAATGAAGTAGCTTGTCCATTTTAAATATTACGTATATACAAAATTTCATGACGACTGGTCGTGTCAAGGTAATACAAAATTCACTTGCGTATTATAATATTATAAACAAGGATTTAATTTACAACCCGCTAAAAATCATCTTCAAAAATAAATATTTTCGTAATATATTTTTGCCGTCTAACTTCTACTTACATCAAAGTTTATTACTTTTAGTACTAGTAATTACGACTCAACAGTAAAGTAACATTTATTGAACGTATACCTCGTAACTATAAATTATTACACAGTATTTTTATAGATCTAGGATAGTAAATAGAACAAATAATATGTCTAGAGATACAGAAGTAACTTGGCAAACAAAACTTCTACACGGATTTATATTTATGTAAAAACTTTATCAACTGCCCAATAAGTTGTAGTTGCTTTAACGTTGCTATTCAGCAAGAAACTTACCTGTATCGCTGGTAATCGGACTCATCTTTGTCTAAGTCCGAAAGTTGATTCGGACATGCTTTGTTGCTGAGTAGACTCAAGTACGAGAGTGACGGAAAGTGTTCATTCACTTTGTTAATCAGTACTTCTAGGTCGGTTATCTGAAAATATTAATTTATACAGTCTCGAGAGCAAATACGTGAATAAGTGACTAACTAGTCTTGTAAATTGTAACTTAGTTATAAGTGAATTAATAATTTACGCGTACGACTGGGTTATTTTGTATTCGTACTATGACGTACCACATTAAGTGTAATTGCATTCGTATTGTCTTCAATACCAAGTAAATATATAAAAGATAGTGCGTTAATAAAATTTTACTATTACAGAATATTTTTTATACAAGTAATCAAGTCTGTTTTCAAACCCTAAATTAAAAGGCCGGCAGCACACCTGCAATGCCGCTGGTGTTGTGGGTGATCATGGGCGGCGGTAGTCACTTACCATCAGGTGAGCCGCATGCTCGTTTGCCCCGTGTTGTAAAAAAAACAAAAAAAAATTTTCGCAAGTAATTTATTTATATATTTAATTTAAAAGCGAAAAAAAAATACATACATTCTGTTTGAGTAGAATTAATGAAAAGGTATCCAATTTTCGTTAAAATTAATACAGAAAGAACCTCAAAATGATATTTGTAACAAAATGAAACATGTAATAAATTATTTTTTTATTTCTCTTATGGTCGGATATATTATTCATTATTTACATTTTTATAAAGTTCCATTGAAATAGACTATTACGTATTTTTATTTATAATAGTCGAAGAAAAGTGATCCAATAGAACGGCATTTGACTTTGTGTATATGATATATTACTATGTTCTTCTATTGAATTTAAATTTAGTCAATATGTAAAGTTAGAAATAATCAAATAGTCTGTACTAATAGTTAATAAGTATTATGATAAGATTGCCGTGTGATCCCGGCATAGAGTGGGCGGTCCATTTCCAGCTTTCCCATGGGTGTTGTAAGAGGCGACTAAGGGAACTCAATGGACGAGAGATGGGTGCCCGAATAGCACCATTCTTAAAGCATCATCAAAGTCTAACTGCAGTTGTCAACCCGTCTGCTAAACGTGGCAACTACTGCCAAAACTCCCCTTCATGGGAGAGGGCTATGTTCAGCAATGAACAGTTAACGGCCGATATGATGATGATAATGTTAAGATAGGAAGTTACAAGAGTATTAATTTGAATGTAATATTTCTAATTAATGCGTCTTCATAATTAAGTCGTCTACTAATATTTGTATAAGTAAGAACACATTCAATTTGCTTTATATTATGAAGAAAATTTAATGTATTCTGTTTAGTATGATGTATGTAGCAACTGGGTGGCAACGACCTTACAATCTCTACTTTGTACTGAAATTTCAGAAACAGCGACACTAAATTTGTATCTACATATACTTAATAAAACTTAACGCTGTCTGACTGACAGACAAAGCATTGTTTAAAAGCCGGTGTAATAAATAAAAAACAGTCGCTTTAATCTTTAGAACAATAACATCTAGATAGAATGCCTCTCAAAAATTACGAAAAACGTCTAATTTCTTTTAAATGTTGTATTTTTTCAAGTAGTTAAAATTGTGATACATCATACAAATCACAGTGTTATTTATTTACTAGCTTATGCTCACTACTTCGTACGAGTGGATTTTGGAAGTAAAAAAATAGAACATTTATTTCTAAATGGCATAACAAGATAAACCAGATTTTAGGTTTATTGTTAGTCCTTAGATGATATTTTCACTACCAGGTGACATCGTGTTCGATCCGAGACTCTTCAATACTTAGAAGAAAAGTTGACTATTTTTTAGAATGTTTTTTGATACTCAACTTTTTATTCAGATGTAACAAAATACACCCATGAATAAAGAAATGGATTTCGTGGATATATTACACTGAAAAGATTTAAATTTAGAAAGTTGAATCGTGTTTGTACAAGCGAATCTTATCAATTGCAGAAAGATATCTTAAAAGCGATTTAGAATTACATAATCGCGTAACATAGTAATACAGACAAATTGAAGACCTGTTAAAGAGACTTTAAAATTTTACAGATGTTTCTAACGTATTACTAATATTATTATATGAGTCATTAACTGTAACGGTAATATATAATGGGATTAAATAAGCCAAAAAAGGTGAACTTAGTCAACGAAATCAATAGCTTTTAAATTTTTTGTAGTCTCTACCATAACCATCGTGTTCCAGATTTTATCCCTATTTTATAACTCTTAAGGGAGAATTTATTTCTTCAAATTTAAATGGAAGCACCCTCGAGATGTATTATAACAGCCTATTCAATAAAAAGAAATCATAAAAATCAGACCGCTACCCTCTTAAAAGTTATGTGTAATAAGACCACCATAAAAATATACGCGTTGAATTAATTTTTGATATTTGTGGTTGTTGATCATCATCATTATAACAGTCCGTTGATGTTCCAGTGCAGTGTATGATTCTCCCATGATAGGAGAATATTAGCTTATTACCATGTTAATAGGTGGCGTAGTAAACTAAGTACATTTTGATTTTTAACTTTCTACCAGTATTTAGCTTTAAGTTAGTAAGAAAAAAATATATACACACACGCAAATAATCTTTCTGTAATATTAGTTTTTTTGCTACACAATAAAGAATGATAGGCTACAGAAAAAAGTGTTGCAAATTGTGGCGTCACACATGTAAATTATGTAAGCACTGTAAAAGGTAAAAGCGAGAGAAAAATCGTGCGGGCTTCAAATGGCAAACAAGGACGTAGTATTATACATACCACCAATATGACCGTAATTTGGGGGACAAATTATTTCACTAATTAAGGTTAATTACGGTCACATTTTGTTAGGCAAGCAAACCGTACGCATACAGAAAAATTCCACTTAAATCACGTTTGATAAACTATTATAAATTCACAATACATTGAGATAAAATAGAAAGTGAATACAAGATATAAGTGTAAGGGCATAGAACTACTAGTGCTCTAGTAGGTTAAGTACTGTAGTGAACAACTATTATGTTTTGCAGCACAACACTGCAAATGTGTCATAGGTCTTATAGGGGTTTTCCCGAAGAGCACATAATTTGTTTTTATCAATGACGGAAGGGTGTCATTGAATGAGTTATTAATGAGAGAAAAAGAGAGTTCTTTATATAGTTGTGTGGTTTTTATTGGCAAGGCAAAAGAAGAAAATTGAAAACCAACATTATCGCGCACTTTTCTCTGTGTAGGGTAGGGCGGGGCTAAAAGGTCCGCGGGTAAAAAGGTCCACCATGCCTATCTCCGAAACTAAGTGCACGTTAGACAACGGAGTGACCGGTGCGTGAAGGGGACGAGGGACGGGTGCGCATGCCACTTTGCCCCGCGCAGTGCATTTTCTAGAGCCGGCAAGAGTGTACGCGCAAGTGGTGCGAAAATTACACGTAAGTAATGTTTTAGATTTTACTTAGTTTTAGTCTCATTGTTCGATTTTTAAACTTACGAAACATAATTTCTCTGTATAAATATTTAGTGGTATTAAGTTTCACGTAGTGCCATTGTTTTTTTGTTTGCATCACCTTGTTTTTCTACATAACCTAAAACAACAGTCCACCTACCATTGGGGCACAAAGGACCGCGGTGGACCTTTAAGCCCCAAAAAAATTTTGATTCTATGTATTAATTTATATTTTATTTTCAGAATGCGGAATTAAAAAAAACCATGAGCGTGGTACGAAAAGTCCGTTGAGCTGATGAAGCAGAAAGAACCTCTGATTTAGTCGCAAATGAAGATAAATCAATAAGGCATAGTTTGTCATGATTTAGATTTTTATAGAACTTCATTGAAGAGATTCATGGCGCGGTTTTAGGAAAATCGAAGAAAAGTCGATCCAATAGAACTACGGCATTTGATTTGTGTTTATGATATATTACAAGAAACTTCTCTCTGAATTTATTTACAATATGACACTTGAAAAATCTTTCACTAATAGGCCCTAAAGATGTTCGTCGATTGGCTTATGAATGCGCTGTAAAATATAATTTGAAGATTCCCATGAGGTATGGCACACAAATAAGATGGCTGGAAAGGACTGGCTGACGGGATTCTTGTCAAGGAATGACCGTCTCTCTATCGTGGCAACTACTGCCAAAACTACTAGTTTGAGAGAGGCCATCTTTCAATCGAACGAACGTTTGTGAATATTTTGATAAATTGGCACACGTGATGGATCGTCACAAATTCAATTTGAGGTTCGTCTATATGGAATGCTGATGAGACTGGTGTCTCGACTGTAAATAAACCTTCAAAAATAATTGCAGCCAAAGAAAAAGAAACGTCGGGTCTGTCACATCTGCTGAAAGAGGAACTAATGTAACATTGTTGGTAGCTGTTTCGGCAACTGGATCTTCGATACAGCTCCAATGTTCGTATTTCCATATAAATAAAACTTAACGATCATTTCGACTGACAGACATGGCATTGTTTAAAATGTATTGGTGCAGGAACAATAACATCTGGATGACTGAAAAATACGAAAAACTTGCTTTTTATTAAACATTTTTTCATCACTTAAAATGTGATACATCATAAAGAGTCGCCAGTTTTGCTTTTACTAGACAATCACAGTTCACTACTTGTCAGTGGAAGTGTTGGATCTAAAAAATAATGGAGTAGTGATGCTGTCGTATCCTCCTCATTGTTCCCATAACAAGATAAACCAGATTTTGTTTTTGTTAGTTTAAATGATATTTATCGTCAGCACAAGATTCATGGATGCGATGGCCAGACTCTTCAATAAAAAAATGAGCATTTACGATATTTTAGAATCGTTTTTTGAACAGCTTTACTTTTTATTCAGATGTAACAAAATACATCTCATGAATAAAGAAATGGATTTCGTGGATATATTACACTGAAAAGATTTAAATTTCAAAGTTGAATCGTGTTTGATGAAGCGAACTTCGCAATCCAGAAAGTTTTGTGACAGAATTACATAATCCGAACAATCCAACAACGTCTTCTGACCTGTTAAAGAGTCACAGCCGCCTTTTACAGATGTTTCTAGTATTACTAATATTATCCATGAGTTTACCAAGTTTATATAATTTAAATAAGCCAAAAAAGTTGAACTTGTCAACGAAATCAATAGCTTTTAAATTTTTTGTATCTCCCATAACCATCGTGTTCCAGATTTTATCCTCATTTTATAACTACCGTTTATTTCTTCAAATCCTGGAAGCACCTAATGTATTATAACAGCCTATTCAATAAAAATTGAAATCATAAAAATCAGTACCGTTCCATCTTCAAACATGTGTAATAAGACCACATAAAAATATACGTCAGAATTAATTTTTGTTTTGTGCTCAGATCATCATCATTTTAACTCCGTTGATCCATGCAGTGTATGATTCCCCATGATAGGAGAATAATGTTATTACCATGTTAATAGGACGTAGTAAACTATATTAACATTTTGATTTTTACACCTACCAGTATTTAGCGTTGTCTTTGGAACAAGAAAAAAATATATACACACACGAAAAATGGTTCTCGTAATAAAGTTTTTTTGCTACACAATAAAAATGATACAAGAAAAAAAAATTGTGGCGTCACACATGTAAAAATGATAAGCACTGTAAAAATAAACAAGTAAAAGAAGAGATAAAAAAAAGATACGAGTTCAAATGGCAAACAAGGACGTAGTATTTTGTCTGGAATGACCGTAATTTGGGGACAAATTGCAGGAATTAAGGTTAAATGTAATACATTTTGTTAGGCAAGCAAACCGTCACTCATCATCTCTTGCATCAAATCAGTCTGATGAAGATTATTATAAAAAATACTTATTTTTTGAAATAAAATAGAAAGATGTTACCGATTTCTTTTATAATATGTAAGATTTTGAGATACTACAATTGTTTTAAGTATGTTAAGTTTATCAAGATCAAAAAGACCAAAGACCTAAAGATTTGTTATTAAGCAGATTATAACTGTGCCTTATAATTATATAACTCTTATAAAATAGGTCGCAACATATCTGTCGAAAAATATAATAAATATAAAGATTAATTTTTTTTATCAATTTGACCACAAAATATGATTTAGGTCGTGTCATTGAATGAGTTATTAATGAGAGAAAAAGAGAGTTCTTTATATAGTTGTGTGGTTTTTATTGGCAAGGCAAAAGAAGAAAATTGAAAAACAACATTATCGCGCACTTTTCTCTGTATACCTATAGATGCAAAAAATTATTAATATATTTTACACATAATTAGTTTGCTTTTAGTGTGTCCACAGTATTGTCATTTTTCAGATAAGCCTAATATAATAAATTGCTTTATCCATCCCGTATTACGGGTCACGATCTTTCCTTCGATACAGACCCTATTTTGTAATTTATTGCATTTCTGTTTACTTGTAAGGGACGAAGTGTCTTTTGAATAGATAATAGTGACATTTTACATTTATTGAAATGAATATTGTATTAATTTATTAATAAGAAAATATTTCATACATCCGTGAAGAAAAAGCAATGTATAATCTAATTAGGATTGAGTTTCTCTGTGAAGTAAAATGTTACCTACATTTTGCTACATAATCTGTACTCGTCAGCAGAGTTGATGTAAATTATCACAAAATGTGTTAATAGTTGGCGACATAATCTACGAAGAAACAAATCCGCATTTTACGTTATTCATTTTTTAAAGCCACTTATAAAATTGTTTGCTTCTCAATTTACTTGCATTTTTTATGTTAGATAATGTCGCCAAGTCTGAACTGATTTTCAACTGACATCAAAAAGGAGGTTCTCAATTCGGTTGTTTCATGTGTTTTTTTTACGGCACACCTGATTAAAAATGGTAAGCGTCACCTATAGACATGAGCAGTACCATGGACATAACAGAGTATACTGTTTCGCCCATGATACCGCCCATGCGTTGCCATTCCTGAGGACTCAGGTGTTATTCCTCTGTACCCTGTAAATTTACGCCATATTCCACCTATCCTTCAAATTGAAAAACAGCCATGTGCTTTACGGTTGAAACACGAATGGGACAGAGGTATCCAAGCAAATGACTTTTGCACAAAGTCTCCCTCTTATTACCTTGTTATTACCATGTTTATTACCTCAACTCCGTAAGTTCTATTCGGAAAATTCTTATCTTTGTCTATAAGGATATACTTACAGTTTAGTCCCATAGGAATTTTATCAAAATCAATTTAGTCATTTAGTTTTTAAATCAAAATAACTGGTTTTGTCAAAATTGATGTCGGTTTTTTATGTGAGATACAATGTCACGACTGAAGTAGGTATTCTTTAAGACCCCGAGAGTCCGAATTTATCTAGGAAATCATTCTACTTTTGAAACATTTCAAAAAGTCAATTATTCATTGCTAATTCTATTTAAATGGTAAAAGAACTTTATCGTGATGATGGGTCAATTGAAAAGAATTTGTCACTCTGCAATTTTTGTGACTTATTTGGAGTTTAGATCATTAGCAGACGTCGGAAACTTTTCAAGTTTAATAAATTTATGTATATACTTCTATATAAAGATTTCAACAATTTGTGCTAAATCACGCAGTGGTGACAGATTGAATGAAATTTGGTGATAAAAGATATATTCGTTATCAATTCATCTAAAAATCTGTATAGATATTACATTATAATTTATTATACAATAGACATACAATAAATAATATTAATTTGCAATATGTATACATTAATATATATTACCTCCATAGGTCTCATGTTTATATATGTATTATATTATAATTTTACCAGCAGTTGCCATGCTTGGCAGGCGGGTTGGTAACCACAGTTAAGCTTAAGGTGATGTTTAAAGAGGTACCCCGACCATTAAGTTTCCTTAGTCGTTTCTTACGATACCCACGGGAAAGAAAGGGATGGTCCATTCTATGACGGGACCACAAGGCGTTAGTTTGCTTGTCATTCCAAATTCCTTAAAAAATGAGAAATTATCATGGTGGAAAGTAAAGAAATTTAATAAGGTTTTCAAGATATAGTCAAGACAGTAAATAATTTATTACATTCTATAACTATCGACCGACCGCAACTGTACCCAATTACCTGATTGTTATTGAGCGATAGTGTCCTTAAATGCGGTAGGTGAGGGAAAGTCACATTGTCCCCTAATTTATTGTTGTCCAGTATCAGTTCTTCCAATCTGTTGAACTGCTCCAAGCCCTTCAGAGTCTCGATACTGTTGTAGCTGCAAGATAAATCAGAGCTGTTTGTTATTAATGGCACGTAATCTTGAGGAAAATTAACGCCGTTGCTTGAAATAGATTTTATTAGGTTCCAGCGGTACGAAGGAACGTTTTGCCGATATCATCGTATCACGTATCTGTAGCTACTTAAATTTTATACGAAAAGTTTACTTTAGAATTGAATACTGGGAATGTTTAATTAAGGGTTAATTGAAGTCAATATAGACTATATATTAGGAGCGTTAATAATGTGTAATTGAAGTAGATAGGTAGGTACTCGCAAGGGAAAATAATATGTAGTTTGAAATTAATGCTAGATCATAGCAAAATAAAAAAGTAAAGATTATGGAATTAAAGACTACCTCGAAACTTTAGTACAAATATGCATGATTTCATCATTAATTTTATCTATCGGATAAGTCTTTTAATATGAAGTCTACGGAAATATCCGCTACGAAGTTGTTTTGAAATTTTCCAAACTCTAAACTTAAAATTTGCCATGTGAGGGTTATAATGTGGCACTTTGCCAACGACATAACAATTTTCCCGTCGACAGCTGACGTTGAAGCGTAAAGCATAGTTTTTGTCGTTGGTAAGTGCAGTTTCGCTGCGTGACTTTAAGCAATTTGTACAATTTTCATTATTTGAATTTTAAACATGTACTTCCTTAGAAAATAAAAATAATGAAAGTATGAAAATATTACCTGGATTTTTACAAATGCAAAAGTTATAATATTAAAATTTGCATTTGTAAATTAGTATAATGAGTTTGGTATTTAGTTTTATACAAACATAGAAGTTGTATTAAGATAAAAATTCTATTGTACAAAATCAGACACCATTAAAGTGTATTTGCATGAAATTAAATAAATAATAATCACTAGGAGCAAAATATTAAGGTATTAATAATTACATGACTAAAATAACAACCATACTTCCTGGATGCAACGGAAAGCTATTTATAAACGTTATCAAGTTTACAAAAAATTACAATCCTCATTTAGTATCAATGAAATAATTGGATTTTCAACACTCAAAAAGAATTCCTTTAAAAATTTATAAAAGAATTTAAGCAATTTCTTTGAAATTAGCTGTTTTCCGGGGTTTTTCTAGGAGAGAATCATTGGAATTTCGAGAAATTATCTGTAGTTTTTATTTATAAGATTTTTTTGTAATGTCAGTAAATACAATATAACAATTATTATAAGTCTATGTAAAATATATCAGAAATTAAAAAAAAAATATAATCATCAAAATTTGTTTTGATGCACTCAAAGTAAGCCACTTTGTTTCTAACATAGTTATTTCAGTGTCTTACTATCCACCTTACATGGTTTTTGTTAGCTGATGCTTAACTTTAACGATTTTTTATGCCTTTATTGACTCGAAGCACCTTTGTTAAAACTGTTAATTTTAGACTCCGGAAAATAAAAATGTTAGAGGGGTCATGGGTATTGATAAATATCAAATACGACATCTCCATCACTTTTATCCATTCATTATATAACAAATTTTGTAAAATGATTAATTTTTGCTATAGCATTAATTCCTTGAATTGTTATTTCGCAAATATTTAAAGAATTTATACGCTGGAATGCCAGGTAAGCCAGCATGGTAGGGTCTATATTCATTTTACGGTAAAAGATCTGTCCACAGCCTTTAATAGGTTAATATTAAAATGAATTATTTATGTGTATATTTACGGGTAAACGCAGTGTAACCCCCCCCCCCCCCCCCCCCGGGCCGTATTGATGCCGTTAAATATTTTGTTTTGTAAAGCTGTCTTGTGCATCTAATAAATAAATAAATACATATAGATCTCAAAATGTTATTCTTTCTTATTCGAACTTTAGTTTTTGAGGGTTGAAAGTTGTATAAAGTTGTATAAAATAACAGTCCAATTAATTTGAAAACTTGGTGAAAATATTTTAATACTTAGCGCTTTTGTTAATAGTCTATCCATTATGAAATGGAGCTTGAAGATCCAATTTTTATGAATATAAAGCTAGGTTAATAACTTGTTAATATTTTAAAATGCGCAAACCTGGACTCGGGAATCCTAAATAATAGATTGAAAAAACAGGTTCGAATCCCATCAGATCGAGGTGCGAAAGGTAAACTTTTCAATATATTACACGTAAAACGCATAAATAATATATAAATGTTCAAGAATAGCAATACATCAGTGCAGCGATATTCCATGGGCAACATAGTATATTTTGTTAAGTATACAGTGGAATTTTTTTATGCCACTAAAAGTCACAAACAAACTGATGGCCCACCCTAGGGAAAGTTATAAATGTCGTTTTAAAATCATGGGCATCTCTAAATTGTGATACATTTGGTACAAGTTCATGCATATGCAAATGCAACTTCTATGATAGTTCCTTAGGACTAAGGTGTTGTTATTTATATTCATAGTCTATATAAACCATTTACAGATGGAATAGGGTTAACAGGTTGTTTGCGAATACACTCTAGCAGAATTTCAAGGTTCGTGGTTTCAGTTAATAGACAAGTATTTCTAGTTAGTAGTAAACTTTCAGACTCTAATACCCGTATAAATTAATCAATCTCAAGTGAATTAGCAATAGCTATTGAGTGCTCGTTTAAGAGGCCGTTTGATTAATAAACGAAACTTGAGTCGAACACAGCGGTTCACTCTATAGTGATTGAGTAAATAGTTGGCCGAAAGAGTAATTTCTGCTTGTTGATCTAAATATATATGGAAGAATAAATTGATAGCCTTTGCTTATAGTAGAAAAAAAGTTTCCTGATTTTCGGTCACAATGCCAGATATATTACAACATAATCTCAAAATACCAACTTACCGCACTTAAGAAATAAAATAGTATGCTATGGTAAACAAGTATTCAAATCACCACTAAGTTCTGTTTAATAATAAGTGAATGTGTTTTCAGTACTTCAAGTGGTACTAAACAGCTGTGAACTTTAGTTTTATTTTAATAAATCAACTTTTTTAATGCATGCTCAAGATTGCTTTTAAATTTGGCATTCCTTAAGAGAATAAGTATTTCTATGTACACTTTAGAATTTCTTAATGATTGTAGATTTTAACCTCACCTCTAATAATTCTGTTGTCAGTTACATGAGAATATTTTTGTGTGTTGTTGTTGGAATTTAGGGTCAATCCAGTGCGTTCACATAGGTAAGTTTCGTGAATGAAGGTACATTGAACTGGAAACACATATAAATATAATCTCAACTATAATTACATAAAAGGACAAACTTTCGACTCTGACAATCAGAGCTGTTATTTTAGTCCTGAGTCGGCCTATTAATTCTTTAAGCCGCATTGTAATTTTAGCGCCGAAAGAGGACTTTTGTAGATTGAGTATTATTAGATAATAATAGTCAATCTACAAAATCCGGAGTTAAAATCCAATAAATGTATAAGATTTATTTTATAAAATATATAAATTGCATGTTGTGTAGTAGTAAATACAGATAGATAGATATTACACATCAGTAAATTCTACTAAATATAGTATCTATTTGGACTTGATTAATTTTGACAGTATTTCGCATATTTCAGCAATGTCTTAAGCCAATCAATATACATAAAAACAAATGTCGACCATACTCGAATTTAACACATATTTTCATATAATTTTGCAATATTTTCTGGTACAAAATAAATCCCAAATTCAACAATGGTAATACAAGTCAAACATGGTGGAACGTGAATGTCATTTCGAATGACATTGATTGCAGAAACGACGTAAGAAGACCGCTACATTTCACATATTTTTCATGGCTTTTTCACTTTTATTTTTATATTTACATTGCACGTGACATGAAGTAACAAACATGAATATTTTTGTGCGTATAAACTCCTTAGTAATCTCCTTGGTATGTTTTTCTTGATATTTCAAGATAGTGGAAAACGGAATATCTATAGAAATTATCCTCGTCATTTAGCAAGCTATGGTTTAATTTTAAAATAATAATAAAGTTTCATCTTCAGTAAAGAAAAATTACGGATTATAATGTTTTCTGGTATAAGTTTGTCTTTGGCGCAATGTTGCCTTATAGGTTATTATTAAGGGTAGCTTGTTTCTGCTGTGAAGCAGCTACGCTTGTGTGACTGTATTTTGGTTTGAAAGGTTATGAGTAAGGGCTCACAGTGTGAAATTAGTTACCGGCCATGGGAATGTAGGTGACCAGGCACCTCATGGAAATCATGCTACTGGAAATAATATCCAACTAAGAAAGAACATCCGCATAGGTACGTGGAATATACGAGGACTCCTTGATAAAGGTAAAATTAACATACTGGATAAGGAACTCAAGCGATGTGATTCCGTTATAACTGGTCTAAGCGAGACTCATTGGAGAAATAGTGGCCATTGTGACTTAGAGAAGCATAGTATTTATTTTTCAGGCGATAACACCACTAGTTCTGGTGGTGTGGCTATTGTAATTCCTAAACGATGGAATAAGTCAGTCCTGGGGTATAATCCGGTCAACAATAGGATCATCGTTATGAAACTCAACGCATCTCCGACCATACTTAACATTATCCAAGTATACGCACCCACAAGCTCAGCTACAGATAATGATATTGAAGATTTCTATAAAGAACTTGAATCTTCAATAGCAAAAATACCCCGGAGGGAACTGCTTATTGTCCTGGGTGATTTCAACGCAAAAATAGGTAATACGAAAATGGACACGGGTTTGAGGAATGTTGTGGGCTGTTATGGCCTTGGGAAGAGAAACGCACGAGGAGAACGACTTCTTCAATTTGCGGCAGAAAATAGTTTTACTATAACGAACACAATGTTTCAGCATCATCCCAGAAGACTGTATACATGGATATCTCCAGACGGGAAATATCGAAATCAGATTGACTTCATTTTAATAAGAACGCGATGGCGAAGTTCAATTATGAATGCACATACAATGCCCGGAGCCGATTGTTTGTCTGATCACCAACTTCTTGTATGTAATTTAAAACTTAAGTTGCGAAATTCTGTAC